ATAACGAGTGTTTTGCACGCAGCTCGTACCTAAATTTGAATGAATCTATAAATGTTGTCATTGTAATGCAGTTTTTATGGTATATGAATAGTATTTTTATGTTTATTTTTATTAAAAATATTATTTTTTGTTTTAATAAATGACAAATTTTTAGTGTAAAACGGAAAGGATACCCTTATTTATATAAAATATCATTATATAAATTTGGTTAATTGTCTTAATTGTTTCTATACCTAATATTTATTTAAAATAGTTTATTTAGTATTTAGTTGGTTTGCAAAAGAAAGTTGCTTTTTAAACTAAAAATTATTTTACAAACATTTATTTTTTTTATTTATTTTTTACAAGCTTTTAGTGATTTTTTATTAAAATAATGGATTTTGGAACAAAACAGACATTTTAAAAATATTCTAAAATTTTATGTTAATCTTTATTTTATATTTATTTATATATTTACGACATAAATTTTTAAACAAAAATTTATAATTTTTTTATTAAATAAATAGACAAGAATCTTTTTAATAATTGTGTATTGAAAATTATTTTTTAGTTAATATCAAGGTTTAGAATTTTGAAAATTGCTCGTACTCGTACTTGTCAATTTTTTTCTCGTACTCGTACACAGGTACGAGTACGAATTTTGGTACGAGCTTCCAAACACTGGTTAATATCTCGAAAATACAAAAGGCTCTTATTTATTATACCCTCGTTACCTAAAATACTATAACAGAGATCCAAACACCAAAAAATGTTAATCTACATAATTTTAAACTTTTTTTTCTTAATATTTTTATAAACTTTTAAATTAACTTTAAGACATTCTTTCTCTCTTTCATGTAAACAATTTACGTAGCAAACTTGACATTTACTATTCCATTTAATACCTTATTTTAAAAAAAGATTGTTAAAAGCCTAATTTACTTGTCTCATTTACAAAAATCAAAAATAGAAATATTTACATCTTTATCTATAAATAATTACATATTTTTAAATATTTTCTTTGTTTTTTGTAAAATAACTCTAAACTGGCACAGCTTGGGGCGGAATTGAAGTTGCATTTATTTTTTTCTTGTTTTTTCTGTCTCCTTTTTTAAAAAATTATAACCTTTTTAATTAATTATTTAATAATAATAAAAGGAATCCTCCCCCCCCCCCCATTTTGTTTATTCTAAAACCAAATTTCACTGCCATTTAATAGCAAAAAGGCTTTCCCAATTCCATGTTATTTTTGTTTTTACTTGTTAATAATATACATACTTTTCTCTCTAATTGAAAGAATGAAATATTTATTTATAAAATATCTAAATAAATAACATCATTTACGTCCATTTTTGTATTTATTTATTTCTTAAAAAATAAAATTCACTTGTATATTTTAGCCTTTTTTGTATAATCTTTTATAAATGCTTTTATAAATAATATTAATTAATATGATTTGATAAAATATTTAAAATATTATTTTGTTATATTTTAAATTATTATATATTACAACCAGAACATATGATATATACAGATTTCTTTCCCAAATTTCCAATCCCTATACATACAAACTCTAATTTTTATGTAAATAATTTAAAATATAATTTTTACTTTAAAAATAGTTTTACATTTAAACCAAACATGAAACTTTCATTTTATTTATCCTCTTTTTAACAAAAATATTTTTTATAAAAACATTTTATTTTCATTTATTTTTAATACAAAAATATACTAAAAAACCTAAATCCTTTAAGCATTAAACCATTTTTTCCATTAGATTTCCTTCTTAATGTCCTTAAGATCCTATCAATTAATGAACGAAAAAAAAAGTGAGAGAGCTTTTAGCCCGACAATTTTTTACAACTTTTCTATATTTCCTTAAATAATTTTATTTTGTAAAAAAAATATATTAGAATTATTAATTATTTATTTTTCGATTTTTTGTAAAAATTATTTTTTTTATTTTCGAAGAAAAATGTATTATAATAAATATATTTAATCTCAGAATATAAATATATTAATTCTATTTTTCTATCATCCTCTAAAGGGCAGTACTAATTGAGGAGGCAGTATATTTGAGGTAATTCGGTATATACGATAGATTCATAAGCATAGGTCCAATACTTTTTGACTTTTCTAATTTGTCTTGGAGTGACGGGATTTTATTTCCTGCTTTTTATAAAAATAAATAAATAATATTTAAATATTTCCTAATTTTTTAGATTTAAGATTAAATTAAAAATTAAAATGAATCATTTACTTATTTAAATACGTAGATACTTTATGTACTATAAACATATCTGAAAATCTAAAAAAGAAATTTATAAAAGAATTCAATTTAATACTTAAATTAGCACTTTTCTAATTTAAAAAATTTTTTAGATTGCAAACGTAATAATTAGTTTATTCTTTTTATTTAATTTTTATTTACGTTCAAAAGTTATAAATTCAACTTGAAAAAATGCAAAATTTAAGAAATTAATTATTATAAAATAAATTTCTTAAAATATTTTCAGCTTTACTTTGTTATATTGAACATAAATAAAATATTTTTGTGAGTCATATTTTGTTTTTGGCAATTTTAAAATTTATTTATTATTTTTAATTTTAAATTATTGTTTCAACCTCTCGCTAGATTGGGCAATTAATTAAGAGGGAGCAATCATTTGAGAGAGGCTAATTAATATAGCATATACGGTAGAAAGTGGAATGTTTTACAGGGTGGTCAGACTGTAACAAGAACTAAAGATCAAGAATAAATAATTTTAATTATCCGTGCCATCCAAATTAAAAGTCAAAACAATTTTGGAAGGTTAATCCTTTTTAATGACAAAAAGCTAATATATTTACATTAAAAGCTTTAACTAATCTCCAACATTTTTAAGACAAAAAAATTCAACAAAAAATTTTTTTCAAACTTTTTTGGAAGGTTAATCCTAGCCACTTTAAATATTTAAAATGATTTAGGCTAGATATCTTAGCTTAATACTTTGACAAAATTAAGAGAAAAATCCTTATTTTTAAATATTGTTTACATTAAAATAAAGTTTTGAATTACATATTTTATTTCCTCTTTAGAAAAGATTTTTAAATGTATATAATACAATTAAATATTACATTTAAAATATTTCCAATAAATTTTGACATTAAAATTGTTTCTATTTTCCAATAAAATATTTAAATTAAATTGGCAAATTAAAAAATAAATTATTTTTAAAATGGATAAATATTATTTGATCTTTATTATTCTCAAAAACACCTGTTAATTATTTTATTTTAATAATAAATTAAAATTTTTATTTAATTTGTTTATATCTTTATAAATATTTTGTGACCTAATATATATTTTTAAATTTAATTTTTGTTTTATTATTTCTAATCTAACAGAATTTTATTCGCTGAAATAATAAAAAAAATGTTTTTTGAGAAAAATTTTTCTTAAAAATTATCATTTAAAAATACTTTTTATTTATTTATTTAATTTATTTTTTAAAAATAAATTACCTAAATATTTATTTTTTTCTTAAAATTAAATTTATCCAATTCATTTACTTTAATATTTAAATAAATTTAATAAGTGCAAATAATAACTTTAAAAAATTGTTTTAAAGTGCAATTTTTTAATAAAAGAAAAATTTTTTTAAATAATAAAGATATTTTTGTACTAATTAATTGTAAATTAAATAATAAATATTCTTTTAGAATTATGGAAATATTTATTATTCAATTTAAAATAAATATAATTAATTTGTTTATTTATGAAAAGCTTATTTTATTACAAAATAATTTTAATAAAAATTTAAAAACAATAATCACTAGAACTATTCCCCGGGTACACTATAGTCATGCTCGTGTATCCCGCCCGACTCCTGTTTCCCGGATTTTTTCTTCTCGTGAACATCATTAGTACGGTCCCGCGAGGGCAAGGTAACGCTTGTTCGACTTATACTAGCTCGTCGATGTGGATGGAACTATACCAGGGCGTCCCGAATTCAACAAGGTTATAGCCTTGAGCTTTCGGTTTAGATTCTTAGAGACTGCGAAAGGTTCGAGATTTATTTAATTAAATTTGTTTTATACCTAATTAAAAATTAAACATTTAATTGTCAGAATAAAATATTATTATTATTAGGGATTTGATTGGCTTATTGGAAATTACCCTTTTTTAATTCGTCATTCTATAAACTCTTTTATTATTAAATATTTTTATTTCTTTCTTTCTACTTTTATTATAAATTAATTTTAAGGAAAAAATTAAGAATTATATTTACTCAAAATATTTTCTTGAAAATTTTATTAATATTTACGTAAGTTAAATAGTTAATTATAATAAATTAATATTTAAATTAAATAAAATGAAATGATTTTTGCAAATAAAAGAACAAATTATTTACGTCAATGATATCACGACATTTTTAAAAATTAATTTTTAAAGACTTTTTTTGTGAATAAATATATATAAATGAACCTGCGCAATTTAAATAAGTACCTAAAATTTTATTTACATTTTTTAAATTTACTTATTTTTTTAAAAAGGTTTGTCTATTGTTAAAATTTAACGAGTTTGTTTTGCGTAGATTGAACAAAAATAATAATATTTTTCTTAGCTTCCTTGTTATTTAACTTTTGTGTTTTTAACTAGTGGATGGATGTACTTATTTTTATTTATGTCTTTAATTCTTAGTGTATGATCTAAAAAATAAATTTTTAAATCTTTACATTTTGTCATTTTAAAGATCTTCCTCCAAAACATTATTTGAATTTATTCTTCTTTATATTTTCTTTCGTCATTTCCGATTCACCTCTGTTTCCAATGCCCCTCTTGATCCTTTACTTAACTTCTCATTTGAGCCTTGGTCTAACTATATATTTCTGATTTTTATTTAAAAAATTAATATTTTTTATTAATCACAATTAAGACTATGTGTTTCCTTTATAAAATTAACTTTTCAATAATTTTTCAAAAATAATTGTGTTGTTTTAAATTTAATTTAATTTAGAAAAAAAATAATTAGCTAATAATGTCTTGCCATTTCTTGACTGTTTGCTTTTCTACAAAAAATTTATTAATAATTACATTCTTTTTATTTATTTGTTGTTCTTCAGTTAATTGTCGATCTATAACTAATGGAAATAAAAATTTATATTTACTTGGAGGTACTATAATTAATTTAAAAATAAATATTTTTAATTAATAATTAAGGAAAACTTCATTTAAAATTAACAGAAAAAATTGAGGATTTTGATATTTCCAATAATTTAATAGAAGAAGAGGAGAAGGAAGTGAAGGAAGAAAGTGTTTGTCCTAAAATCAAATATTCAAATGCTACAATTATTCGTTCAATTAGTTTGGATTTAATTTTTAATTAATTAAAAAAATTTTTTAAAGGTAAAACAACAGAAGAGCCCGTTTATTTACATCCAAATACTAAATTTCAAGTTAAATTTTGTGAACATTCTGCTGATGAAATGCCAATTGAAAAACGTAAATGTAAAGAATGTGCTGTTGGGGCTAATTGTGTGAATACATATCGTTGAGTTTTTTTAATTTTAAATTTAAAAACAAAGTAATTTTAAAGGTTGGGTTAATGCTTTAGTTCGTCACCATTCTCCTTCCAAAATTCATTCAAATAATATTGGATATAAACCTGATTTAGTTCTTTTGCCATTCGATTGTCTTTGTGTTATTGGTTGGAAAGAAAAATTTGGAGTGAAAAAGGAAGCTATAATTTTTGAATGAAATTATTAAAAAACAAAGGAATACAAAAATAATTTTGTTTAATTAATTACTAATTTTGTTTTATTTTTCAAATCTAAGTCACAATTCTTTTCGCAATTCCTTTACTTTCTAATTAATTATTTGATCTCAAAATAATTTTAAAAAAAATCTCTATAAATATATTAACATATCTACATACATACCTATTTTTCTTTTATTTAATTTATATATTTTTAATTAATCAACTAAATCGGTTTATAATGCCTCTATCTCTTCTTAAAAATTGTTTTCTTTATTATTATCCTAAAAAGTTTATTCAAATAATTAATAAATACATTATATTCAAATTTAATAAATTTTTTTAAATAAAATTATTGAAAAATTGTCATTTTTAATTTATAAAAAATTTATTTTCAAAAATATTCTCCTTAACAAGTATACATAAATATTTTAATTTTAGAAACAAAAACAAAATAATTAATTATCCCTTAGATATTAATTGACTTTTGAAACAAAAATTTAATTAAAAATAAAATTTGCCTCGAGTTAACAAAAAAAGGTACAAAATAAGGATTTAAAGAAATCCCTGTGAATATTTCTAAATAATTTTTTCCAGATTAAAATATAAATATTAAAAATATTTTTTCCTCAGAATTATTACAAATTTGTATATGTATTTAAATAATTTGAGCAAATAATTAAAAACATTAAGAATTAATTAAAATATTAAAAACTTTTTTAACAATATTTTATTTAATTAAAAAAATATATTTTTTTCAATTCATACTAATAACTTGACACCGAATCTGTGCCGGTTTTCTTTCAACAGCACTACTTGTGCTTTGAACTCTCATTAATCCATAAGGACGTCTTTGTGTTTGTTGTTGCTGTATTATTCTAACTCCATTCCCAGAATTTTGGCATGCTGCAGCAGCAGAAATGGAGCTGTAAGAAGCTGATGTTTGTAAAGAATTTTGATTTAAAATATTAATTCCTGGAGAGACAGAACGTCTATTGCGAGTAGTAGATGGGGGTGGAAGAGCACTTGCTGAACGGCTCATTGTTTGTATTTTAGTATTTATTTTTGGGGAAGAATTTGAGGAAGAGGAAGAAGAATATGTTGAAACAGAATTTCTTGGTTTATATTTATTTAAACGTAAGGAATCTGTTACTGGTTCAGTGCCATCACCACCTGAACCCATAAATTTGTTAGCCAAATGTTGAACTTGAGTATTTGGGGTTGTTGTTGGTGTATTGGAACGATAACGAGCTTAAATTTATTTTAAGGATTAAAAGTAAAAAATTGTTTAGGTTTTTTAAAAAGTTCTAACCTGTAGAAAGAGGTAAACGAGAATTTCTTGAATAAGTACCGCCAACATTATTGTCCCTCACAGCACTATTATCTCTACTATTTCCTCTTTCTAAACCAATCATCGAAGAATAATTAGTTTTTCTATCGCCAGAAGGCATGGGTGAACAAGCACGTTGAACAACTGTTACTTGTGGTTGGGGTCTTATTATTGCCATTTTTGGGCTTGAAGAGTTAACTGAAAAAGTTGGTGATGAATATGAAGAAGAAGGAAAATTCCTTCGCCAACCGCCTGTGCCGACAGAAGATGAAGAAGACGTTGGTGGAGGAAGAGATAATTCTGTTGGAGGAGGTGGACAACGATTTGGTTTTGGAGGAACTGGTGGGGGAATTGAAGGGGAAGAAGGTTGTTTTGATGTTGATTTATAAGCAGCCAATTGAGCAATTGTATCAGAAGAAAGTGAATGAGGAATTTGAGCAGAGGTGTGTTTTGAAGGGGGCTAGAAAATTTAAAAAAAAATTAAAAAAATATTTTAAAAAAAATATTAATTCTAAAATGATTTTATATTCAAATCTTATTCTCAGTCATCGACCCAAAACCAACCCTAAATTTAAAGAACTAAAAATTTTATTTAAATTATTTTACATCCAAAACATGTACAGGAACATTTGTTGTTGTTGCCGACCTTAAAAGTCCATTCCCTTCTTCCTTATTTTTTTGTTTATTTTCTTCTTCTTCATCAATAAAAATTCCACTTTCCGGAGATCCCGTTTCCCTTTCTCTTTGTTTTTTCTTTTTAATTAATACTTTTTTAGGTATTTCTTTTATTTTTTCTTCTTCTTTAAATTCTTCCTTTACTTTATTAATTTCCTTTATTTTTATTTCTTCTATTACTTTCACTTTCTTTTCTTCTTCTTTCTCTTCTTTCTCTTCCACTTCTGTCCATAATTTCTTTTCTTCCGCCAATTTTGTTCTATTTGCTCTACATTCTTTTTTGTCACTCTCAGTTCTTGAAAGTTCACAAGCAAATTGTTGAATTAATTGACGAGATAGAGGATTTTGTTCAGAAGCTAACAAATCCCGAACAGTTCTTTCCAGGCTAGAAAGGCATTCATCATCTTTAGGGAAAACTAAATATCGTCGAATAGTTGAAAGTGTTCGACAAAGTTGAAGTCTAATAAAGTTAAATGTTTATATTGGAATTTTTTAATTAATTGTTCACCTGATATTAGATATTGGATCCAAACTGAGCTAAAATAAATTTAAAATAAAAATAATGTATTTCCCAATAAAAACCTTTAAAATTGCGGGCAAAAATTGTTCAACAAAAAATTCTCTACTAAAATTATGTAATAAAGTAGGCACAATATCCAACAAAAGTCTTCTTCTGTAACAACTTAAATGTTGGCCAAGCCCTTCAGTAAAGAATTTAACAATATCAAGACGATCAGAAGATAAAGGCAATTGACGCATTAAAAGTAAAAGAGAGTTTGCAGCTGCTACTCTACATGGAAGGGCTTTCTAAAGTTTTAAGTGAAAGACTATCGTGCTTTTTAAAACAATTAAGAAAATTCTTAAAAGATAAAAGACAATTTCTGCTTACCATATATCCTTTAATAACTACCCTGGGTAATTATTGTTTCGACCTTCCGTTGGAGGGAGTAATTAATCGAAGGAGGGTAATTATACGAGGTTTGAAATTTGGACGTGTTTTAGGGCATTTGTTGGGGATAATTATTGTTTCAATCTATCGTTGGATGGGGTAATTAATGGAGGTGGAGTAATTATTTGAAGGAGGGCAATTAATAAAGTTTGAATAATTTTTTCAGAAATGTTTAATTTTTTACCGCATTAAGTACTTCTTGTTTTAATAAAGGCACAAAATTTTGTTTTATTTCTCGAATACTTAAAAGATTTTTAAGTGATGCAATAGAATTTAAATAAGATTCATGGGCCCTCCAAAATCCAGTACCTCTCAATAATGAATTACAGTTAATAATTAATTGGTTTAATTTTGTTTGAAGTTTTTCTGTCTAAGAATTAAATTTTAATAATTAAATTATTTATTATTTTTACATTTTTCTTATTTTCATTAGAATTTATTTCTTTAAATAAAAAAGGCAAAATTTTCTCTAAATTTCCAGTTACATGTTGAACAACTTCACTACTTCCGTTACTACTAGATAATAATTCAACAAATGAATTTAAAAGTTGTGGTTGTTGTTCGGTTTGTTTGGATTTTAAATTTGCTGTTGAGGCTAAAAAAATAATCATTTTTTGAATGTAAATATTTAAAGTTTTTCCTTTCCAAATACTTATATTTCTCTCTCAAGGATTATTTATTAATTTTTGTTTAATAGACAGATTTATTTAGGTAAATTTACTACAATACAAAATTTTCTGCTAAAAACTCCAATTCTTTTAATATTTTTTGGATAGACAAAGATCCAGTCAAAAATGTTAGAGATTAAACATCCTCTAAAAATTCCATCTATCTTTAAAATTTAAGAATTACTACATATCTCTCTTTAAAATCATATTTCCTGCCAAATTACCTCCTTCAAAAAAACAATTTCTTTGAGCCAAAACTTCATGAAATCCAGAAGCTACAGTACTCCTCACTTCTTCATCAGGATCTCTACAAAACCTTTCCAAAATCGGTAATAATTTCTGACAAAATAATTGTTGGTCTTGCCCAAATACTGAGACAATACACTTTTAAAAAAGAGTTTTGATTAAAAATTATTTTTAAAAATTTACGGGAAAATTATAGGCACACATTCTTCGACAACAAGTACGTAAATGTTCATAACTTGCAGCAGAACCTGCATTATTGTGAATACAACCATTTGTAGAAAATGTATTTGTATTATTTGTTGTTAAGGATTTGTTTTTTGAATCTTTTGAATTTAAAAAATTAGTTAAAATTGAATAATTTTCTAATTAGAGAATGAGACGTTAAGTGAATAAAAGTTATTAATTAGACGAATATATGTTATCTACATATTAACTAGAAATCTAAAATAAAATTTTTTTAATATTTTCATAATAAACTGAAGGATATACTATCTAATTTTATAAATTTAATTTTAGTAAAGGAATAATTGATAAATTGAATTAATAAAAATATTTTTTATTCGAAATAATTTTCCTAATTTACTTTGTTGTTGATTATTATTAAAATTATTTCCAAAATCCAAAATTCTCGTATAAACATCCAACCACCAACGCATTTCTGATGGTCCAGAAATTATTTCCTTCATAGATTGTAACCAAACACCCAAATGTTTAGCAATTAAAGGCAAACTTGAATCTCGCATAATTAATGCTTGTTCTGCACATTTATGTAAAAGAGGAGATAATATTGACTTCTTTGATTCTAAAAAATTTGTTTTTAATAATTTAAAGTTTCTTTTACCTTTACTAAAATGGGGTAAACAATCATCTAATGTGCCTAAAGTTGCTTCACGAACAGCTGGGTCCTCATCTTTACAAAGTTCTATTATACAAGGTAATAATAATGAACTGCTGTCTGCAGAATTGCTTTAATTGAAGAAGGGGAGGGAAATTAAAATTAATTTAAATTTTTACTTACTTTAATGCTTGAGCAATAAAAACAAGCCGCTGTGCAATAGATGTGCGTACTGAAGTACTTGGGTCTCGACAAAGCATTTGGACACATGGACAAAGTTCTCTTTGTAAACTAATTTTGAAAAATGGAAATATTTTTAATTAACCATGCACCGTATTTCCTAAAATAGCCCCCCTGAATTAGCACTCCCCTCCCCCCTCCCCCGTTAAATAATACTCCCCTTTTGGGGGAGGGGTGAAAAATCATATCTTGAAAAATAAATTCAATAAAAATTAAATATAATTTTTACATTTCTTTAGGGACTAAAGCCGCCAGTTTCTCAATAAGTCTTGTTGAGATAATTCGTCTCTGAACTCTCCTGGAAGAATCTGATTGAGCTATAGCCAAAGGAACAATCTGAATATAGATTTTTTAAATTATTTTTTATCGTTGTCTAGGAAATAAACAAATATTTGTTTTTATTTTTAAATATTACTTTGTTATTATAAAAATATTTTTTTCTTTCCTTTTTCCGTTCCAATATCTTTTTATCCGAATATACTAAAAAACAACAAGTATTTCTGCATCCCCTTAGGGACTATAAAAACAAAATAAAAAAGTTTTCTTTTAAAAAATTTGCCAAGTTTTTACTTTTTCTTTGCTTAAAATAAATACTAATAAATGTATTAAAGAAATAAGGTAACTAATTCTTTTATTCGAAAGGGAACAAGGGAATTTCCATTAAAAATACGAGAATTAAACTTGTAAAGTAATTAAGGGACTTTCTCTTGTTTTATAAAATTAAAAAAATATTCTCAATAAACTCAAAATCAGAAATATTTTTTTCTTAATTTTTTATTAACTTACAACAGAAATAACAGAACGTTGGGATACAGCTTCAGATATATCTACTAACGATTCAAGCCAGGCAGCGGCCGTAACTTTAAAAAATAATTTACAAAAATAATTTCTATTTATTTCTTTACCATTCTCTTTTTGAATTTCAATATTTTCAAGTGTAGCATTTAATAATATTTCAGGTAATTCACTAAAAGTTTAATTCACAACAATTATATACTCAAATCACTTACGGGCATTTAATTCTAAGTTTTCTATCTTTTATACAATTTTTATAAACAATTGCTGCTTCACAATGCATATCCAAATTACTTGGTTCAATATTTAATATTTCCTTTTTTTATTTTTATTTTTAAAAGAAATATTTTTTCCTTAAATTTACCTGAATTAAAGGTATAATTTTTTCAATCGTTTCTTTCGGTTCATTTTCAAATAATTCCCCCAAATTTCTAACAACATTTAATTTTTGTATTTCCCTCCCTTCTTTTAATGTTTTAATTGCCGATTCTGTTGGACTTAAATCTAAATCAAATTCTTCTCTAGCTGCTGCATATAAAGCATCTAATGAGGATGATTTGTTGTTAGTATTATTATTTTCTTTTAATTCATTTTGTTCTTCTTCTTTGTTATTTTCTTGAGAAATATTTTCTGTTGAGGATTTTGTTGGTGGCATTTTATATGAATAATTTATAAAAAAATAATAATTTTTTTCCAATTTTAATCTAAAAAATTTAAATATTTTGTCGAATTATTTAAATTGTAATATGTATAAAAAATAAGGTAATTCTTTATATAAGTTCTGATTCTGGTGGATTAAGAAATAAATATAAAAATTAGCTTTAATTTTATTTGTGCAAAAATCATCCCAAAATATGTATTTAATCTTGTAAAATTCAAATATTATTATCAAAAAATATTCAATTTCAATAATATCTACTTTGTTTTTTTATTTAAAAAATAAAATAAAAAAATATTTATAGTAATTTTATTTTTGATTTTAAAAATAAATAAAAGTAAAGAGAAATCAAATAATAAAGTATTAATCACTTAGTATTAGCTCATCCTCTTAATTTTATCCTTAATTATTTCCTTGTTATTTGGCCACATGTGTGTGAGGGTAATAGAATGGGAAAGGAAGGGAAGGATGTGTTAAGTGTATATTGAAGGATTGTAAAAAGAAGGATTTTATATTAAAAATAGTTAATGGATTTGGAGTTAATTAAATAAATTTGAAAATTTTGCTTGTGATGTTTAATAAGGGAATTTCTTTCCTTTTAACTTATAAAAATTAAAAGTTTTTGACTGTGCCTCTTTCACAATATTAGCCAGAAGGTTAGATTACTTCAAATTTAGGAAATTAAAAATTATTAAGTTAAAATTAATTTTTCTTTTAAAAATTATATTTAAAATTTTGTTCAAAGAATATGTAGTAGATGGACATTGTTTAAAATTCTTTTGGATGAGCTCTAGTAGAATTTCTAACCAATTGGCTATACTAAAAGAGAAATTTGGAGGGAATTATTGGCAAAAATATTTAAAATAAGACTGGTGACAGTTGGCAATACATATATTCTTTTCTAAGTTTAAAGAAGAAAAAAGAAAAGAGGAACAATTGCATCCGAAAACACTTAATAAATATTTTTAAATATAAGTATTTTTAATATTTTAATTATAATAAAAATTAAAAAATTAAAATAATATTTAATCTAAAATTGTTATAAACAATAAATGAAATAATTTATTTAATTATTTTTATAATTTAATACATACCTATTTGCTAAAACAATTACCCAGGGTAATTATTGTTTCAACCTCTCGCTGGAGGAGGTAATTAATAGCACGAGGGTAATTATTCGAGAGAGGGACATTATTTCAGCATTTACGGTATATGTTGATAAATCCTTAAAACAACAGAATTTACTCAAGAAAATATACCGTTAACACTCTATGTATGTTGACTTATAAGAACATTGACTTTTAGAAGGCTTTTAATCTCTCAAATATTAAAGAATAAAATTAAAATAATTTAAAGTTTAACTTAATTTACGTTTAAATTATTTAAAAATTAGTCAACTTAAACTATATAAATACTCATATTACCTAGACACTTCACATAAACATCAATTTTAAATGACGAAATTGTTAAGTATTAAATTTCAATATCAATTTTTAAGATCATTTGATCAATGAATAAAAAACAAAAATGACTAAATGTTTTGTTTGACAAAAAGGTATTTATTTAGAGAAATTAAATAGAATTTATAAAAGTAAAAGAAGTATGTACATCCGCTTTTTCTCTTTTAAAAGATCATTACAAGAATATATATATTTTTGCTGCGCCTTTCAATTTTTCCCATTAAATATTTTCCAATCCCCACGTCTCATCAATACTTTTAGCAGCAGTTTTCCAGCTAATATATATTATCTGCTTTTCTCTGTATATCGAGTGCTGTTAGTAAACCAACTTTTGTTTTCTTACCTTTTTACTTAAGTTAATTGATCAAAATAAAAGTTGATCGGGAATTTGAGGAAAAAATAAGAAAGAAAGTTGGGGATCTGAAAAAGATTTTATTGATCAGAGATAAAATAATTTTAAACAAAAATTAATAGTAGGGCTAAACATATCCGAGATATACTAGTTGAACAAATGATAAATTTCTAAATGCAATAGTAAACTCAAATCAGGTCTGGTGCCGTGCATTAGTAAATATTTACTTATCGAAATTTTATTGTACCTATTTCAAAAAATTAATTTTTATTTCATTTCCTTCGAATGCATTCTTTTGTTATTTTTTTGAATATGTTTTATTTTAAAAATAATAGTAGGTAAAATAATTTTAATGATTATAAAATTAAAAATATTAAATAAATATATTTATTTATTTTTTTATAAAAAATATTCTTCTTCATTATTATCCATTTCAGATTCATCTTCATTATTTTCTTCAATTAACTTATTATTGTTAACACTTCCAAATGCTTCACATTGCTTAATATGTCCATCCCCAACATATGCCTAAGAAAAAAATAATTTTATTAAAAATAATTAAATAATTAACTTGACAAATTAAAGTAGGTAATTGACGCATAAAAAATTGTTGAGAACTTAAACTAGCATTATTTATTAAAATCCAAGGCACAAATTCATGCTAAAAATTGACAAAATTAAGAAATTATTAATCAGTTAATTAATTTAATTTAATGTAAATACTCGCTTTTCTAATAAAAATTCCTTATTTTTAATTATAAAATCCAACTTTATCTGGCCAAATATTAAATGTTTGTTCGGCAGCTAATTTTTGTAATTTATCTCCTTTTACTCCATTGAAACAATGCCTTCATAAATTAATTTTAAAAAATTATTTTTAAAACTTTTGTTTTATAATGTACCTAAAATCTGTTTTTTTAATTTGTTTGGTCACCAACATTTTAATAAATACCTCCCACCCCCCCCCTTTTTTTTTAATTACAATATAAATCTTTATTTAAAAAAAATACGTTATTTGGTCATAAATATGTGGAAGTGAATGTAATTTAGCATAACATTGTTTGGATGCCTTTTCAAGTTTAAATCCATCTGCAATTTTTGTTTCCAAACAATGAATGAAAGGTAGAGGTTCGTGCATATAATGAATAGCACAAGACTAAATTAATTAATTTTTTTAATTTTTATTTAGAAAAAATATTTTTTATTTTTTACTTCATATTTATTTATTCTACATTCTTCCGGTCCGTGTTGGCATTTAATTGTGCCGTTCTTTAATTTTGAAAATTATTTTTTTTATAAAAATTTTATTTTAAACTTTAAGTATTTTTGCATTTCCAAACGGGACAAACTCAATTCTTGCAAAATCTTTATAAGTTAACCAAAAATCAAGTAACTTTTTGGAGATAAAGTTTTGACAGTCTGGGCCTTAAATTAAAAAAATGTTTAAAGTTAAATACAGGTTATAGGTGAATTTTTCTAAGAAAATTAAAAAATTTTAATATTACATTTCTAGAAGACTTGGCAATGGATACGGATACAGATAATTTAAAAATGCCTGCAAATATCCGCCTGTATCCGCCTAAAATATCCGTATACGGATACCAAAATCCATGTCCATTACCAAGTCTGATTTTTAGTATTTTCTTAATAGAGAAAAACTTGAAGAAAATTTTTTGTCTGATTTTTAATTTAATTCAATTAATTTAAACTTACAAAGACTCTCAAAAAGTAAAGTAATATGTACAGGCTTATTTTTAACAGAATTTTTATATTTCAAACATTTTTGCTTTGTTTGACATTTTTCTTGAATTTTATCATTTGAGCACCAAAGTGCTGGTGGAAGGGAAGCACAATTAAATTCCTCATTATTAAAATAATTAAAAGCAACTAATATTTTAGTAAAAAATAATAAAATGAGGAAAATAATAAATAAATAATTTATTTTATTTAAAATTATTTTCATTTTTTCCTTAAAAAATTTTTTATTTTTAATTTAAATATTAAAAATAAAATAATTAAAAAAGAAAAATATTAAATGATAAAATGATAACAAGGGTGGAACTAAATATTTATTTACATTATTTAATCAGTCAATCAAGATGAAAAACAGAATTTTATAAATAAATAAATTGATAAAAAGTAAAGTTACTCCAAGGTTAAATAAACAATAATATTTATGTATATTATTTAATATTTAAAAAATTAAATATTTTATTTTATTTATTCAAAATTAAATTAAAAATAAACACACAGGGTTATTTTTTATATTAAAATATTTCCATATTTCTATCAATTATAATACATATTTTAATTTCTTCAACATCCGGGAATTTCACTTTTGTCAATACATTCATTTAATTTTGCTGGATTAATTAATTCATTTATATTATCACAAAGTTTTCTGTTCACATTCATGTCCAATCCACAAGAATAGGAAATTCGAGTACAATTCCCTCCAATCAAATACCAATTAGGAGATTTGTTGATACAAAATATTTCTAAAAGAAAATAATTTTCTCATTTATTTTATCTCTTTTTACCTCTAGTACATTCAGGTATAGAATCTATATGTCGACAATTTTGTGAAGCTGCATCAAAAATCATAGATTGTTTGTGTGGTGGAATAGAACAATCTATTGACTTTCCAGTTTTTTCACATGTAGCACGCGAACTACAATTTTCAACAGGCTTAAGTCGGCAGTCTGTTGTGCCAATAAATGGTTGGGTATTTAATCTACTTTTAGTGGGAACTTTTGGCTTTAATGCTGTATCAGGTTTAGGTGCCTATAAAAATTTTAATTTTTCTAAAAATAATTTTTATAAATAGTTTCACCTCTTTTGGAGGTTCTTGATTAGGCGGTATTGGCGCTGGCTGTTTTTCTTGTGGTTCTGGTGAATGAGGTTGGGCAGGAATTAAAATTGGTTCTTCCATTCCTCCTTGAAATAAATTAGAAGGCAAAAGAGGTGCTAAATTGGGTGGTAATTGTACAATTTGTTGATCAGGGGGAGGTTGGGCAGGTATAATTGGTTGTTGATCGAGATGATGATCTTATATTTTGGAAGTAGAATTAATATTTAAAAATTAATTTCCAAATAAATCTTTTTCCAAACTTTTAAAATAATTAATTATTACCGAATGGATCCTCAAAATGTTCCTCATCTTCTTTGTAATTATTTTCTTCGGATTTGTGTTCATTATTGTAATGTTCATATGAATGTTTTTCTTCAGATTTTTGGTTATTGTAATTTTCTTGAGAGTTTTCATGAGGATATTTATTGTTGTAATTATTCTCATTTTCCTCATATCCATTATTATCTTTTTTAAATTAATTAATTGTTTTTAAAAAAAAGTTAATTTAAAAATATTTTAACTTCTTACTATAATTGTAAAAATACTTTGCTTTATTTTGTATTTTTATATTTTCTATTTATCAATACTTTTTTGCAATTTTTTCTCAAAAGTTTTAAAATTATTTATCTTACTTTCATAATTATTTTCCGGCTTTTCTTCTTTATAAGATGTTTCAGGTTTGGGATATGAAGTTTTTGTTGTATAATCTATTAAATAATAAGAAATATTATAATTTGGAAAAATTGTGAAAGGGATTTTTAATAATTTAAGTAAATTATTACCGTTTTTCTTCTCTGGGTAATAATTCTTCTTTTTGTATTTTAGTCTACAATTATTAATTAAATTAAATATTTTTTTAATTATAATTTTAAAATAATCCAAGATTAATTCTCTATCAGAGAGATTAGGAAAATTGTTTATCTTGTAATATATTTAAAATCTAAAATTCTTACGGATAAATAACGTCAGAAATTTTAAGTTTCTCATATGGAAAAGCTGGCTATAAAAATAAATAAATTTATAAAAATTAAATTTATTTACTTCATAATTCGCCGGAAAATCACGTTCATATGAATCAATTTCTTCACTAATATATTCTTTTTTATAATATTTTGGTTTTTTTGTTGAAGAATATTGATAATCTTCACCTAAAATTATTATTATAAAAAATTATTTTTAAAAGGCAAGCATTTAATAATTCACCGCTTTTCTTTTTTACTTCCCCCAATTCCTTTAAACATTTTAACAGATTAGCTTCATGTTCGTTTGGGCCATCATAATAGCTTTCTTTAGCCGGACTAAGATATGTTGATGGTTGTTGATAAGCAACATCATTTGATTTAACTAAATTATTCTATTTTAAATTTTAAGCAAGAATATTGAGCTAATGTGAGAAGTTTGATAAACATTGATAAACATAATAGTAAAGCAGCTGGGCTATGGCTATTTCTCTCCTTCAGCTAGTTCAAGAGGTTATTCAGCGGCTGGGAGCGAACCAGCATCCTCAGTAGCTGCCTTAACCTTACTTATAAATATTAATCTTTTATTATTCACCTTTTATTATATTGAATAATAAAATAGTAGCACAAATAAATATTGTAGTAAATAGCAATTGTTCAATCCTTATTAGAAACATATTAGAAATTTTTAAAAAACTACAAATATTTTAAAAATATTTTAATTTTTTAGAGGATTATTTAAACTCATACATATTGTAGTTTCCATACTTATCCTAATGTTTTTTATGAACAAAAAAAGTTAAATATTAAAGGGAATCATGCGTCATGACCTAAGGATGAATTTTATACATTTATATAAAAACATTGTTGGAATCATTTAAAGAATGAAATTTACTTTAATGGAATTTTAATTAAAATGAATCACTTAATGATAAATGGATTTAAATAAAAATAATGTATTTATTTAAAAACGTAATAAAACGCCCCTAATAAATTAAAAGAAGTTCTTATTGTTAGATAAAGCTTTAAGATAAAAGCAAGTGTATTGGGAAAAGCATTAAACCACAGGAAATGTGATTGTTTAAATTAATATTTTCTCTGAGAAATCTTTCAAAACAATGTTTTTTCATTAAAATTCTATTTAATAAATTAATGGAATTTTAAATAAAATCGAAGTTTAAAAAATTAATTGAAATATTTTATTTATTATTGAACATAAAATACATCAAAAATATAAAATTATATATCAGAGGTAAATATGTATAAGAAAAAAATAGAACACATAACCGGGTAATAAGAAATTAACAAAATGTTGATTGTGAATTGTGAAATAATATCCAAAATAAACAATAAAAATTAAAGGATTTTCGAATCTTAAAAATTTTTTGACAATTTAAGAAAAAAAAAGCCTGGTCAGGGCCCTGGTGCAAAAATCAGATATTTCAAGGTTTTAGCCTTAAAGTCCAGCCTGGTTACAACAAATAGTACAACTAGAACAGGACTCGGGAATTTGAAAAATCAACCTCTAATAAAAATTCATTCGTAAAACAAAAAATATATAATTTACTATTCTATTTTTCCCTTCTATAAAAAATTAAGCTGTTTACGCGTTGTAAATATTCACTACAAAAAACTCCTATAATCTTTTCCTAGAAAGTATTGAAGACAATTTCTTCTTTAATCCTTTATCACTTTTAGCTGAAATTGTAAATGACGAAGCGGAGAAAGGAAGTTGTTTTTCCACACCAAATGCTTTTTCTGCTGCAATTTTTGGTTTTAAATTACTTGCTAAAGAGTAGTTATAAAGTAAATGAACTTGGGAAGGCCACAAATTTAATTGTTCGTTTAACTAAAATATTTAAATTAAAAAAAATTAAATTAAGGTATTAAAATCACCTTCAAACCAATTTGCCACGCTTCATGTGCAGCAGCTTCAATAATTAAAATTTTCCAACAAGAACCTTCATAAATCTTAAATTATATAGAAATAAATTTAAAAAAAATTAATAATTTAACTAAATTTCCCTGAGTTAGTTTTTCCGTTTTTTCAGATTCAAGAATATGTTGCATAAGTGTAGATGAAATACAGCTAAGAAAAGTAATTCGAACTAATCGAAGAGCTTAAAAGAAACTTGAAAGAATAAAAGTTAAAAAAAAACAAAAACCTCACAAACATTTAAAATTTAATTAATTTTTTAGAAAATCTTATAAGAATCGGTAGGAAGAAGTACGATTAAAATCATAGATGTTTCGAAATTTCGATTTCGAAGATGTTGAAAATATTATCGACTTATGTTAGGGATTTTTAATTAATTTTCGATTTCTGGGAAAAACAAAAATTTATCCCACCAAGTAAAGGTTTAATCATAAATCATAAATAAAGAAAAAAACCATACCATTAACCCGTTTCTCCGAGTTTGGTGACACTTCAACAAAAGCAACAAGTTTCCAAGGTATCCTCTTAATTTTACTATCAGTGTCAGCTTTTCGAACCTTTCCTTTCTGAATCAATTCCAAACAGTTTTCACGAATAACTGTATTTATAAAAAAATAATTTACTTTTAAAAATAAAATATTTGAAGAACAAACCTAATTTTAAAATCGTTTTTGGTTTAAACCGATTAATTTTGTTGACAGAATATTCATTTAATATAGAACCTCCATGAAGTATAGCTGTCAATTGATTGGTAATTAAATCATCTGTTGACGAATTTTGGCCAGTAGAAAAAGACGTTTCTAACGGAAAAGTTTGTAATGGATTTTGAAGGACTAAAATTAAATTTATTCTTAATTTTAGACATTAAAAATACTACCCAATTCATTGATTGAAGTTGAAAATATTTTTGAATCTTCTTTCACGGTATTTTGTAAATCATCCACACCAAATATCCTTGAAAAATCCATTGACTTGCTTTGTTTGTGCAATAGAGGTAATAAATCCGAAGGCTTTCGAGTTGCCGAAGAAATGTCAAAATCTCCACGAGAACTATTCTTTCGAATGAGCAAAAAGTCAAAAGTGCCAGCAGAAGAAACTGATTGATCTAATTCGAGAGCAACACCAGGATAATCTAATGGCTCGAGTTGATATTCAACATCTTTTGAAAGAAAAAAGCACATCTGATATAAAAATATTCTTACCACGAAAAAATTCATGTAGATGATGATTGACTTCAGTTGAATTTGACTGCTCGTCTTCGTTTTTTCTGCTCAAGGCATATTCAAAAACTTGACGTAGAGAGATGCCTTCAACTTCGTCCATAGTATAACAACGCCCGTCTACTAAATAACTAAATTGGAAATTAAATAAAATTAATTTCTAAATAAAATAAACATACATACGAACAGTTTGTTTTCGGCTTTGTTGTGAAGAACGTCTTCTAACAAGTGAACGTTTAACAATTGCAAGATTAGGAAAGCCACAATCAGCGACACGACGTCTTCTATCTTGTGGTGGTAAATCCGCATCGAAATCTGACAAATCTTCTTCCGCTAAATAGAGGTCATAAAGGGAAGGGGATTCACTGAAAGATTGCATTATTTTAGAAATCAAGAAAAGCCATAAAATAATTCGAGATAATTAAAAATTCAGTAAAAAATTCAGTATGCACAAAAAATATTTCAAGAAAAATTTAAAAAACTCAGAAAATAAATTTAGAAAGCAAATGAGCTCTAGCCAATCGTGAAGCGAAACGTGCGTGTTTAACAATAAGTACTTAAATCGCAAAAATTTGACTTATAGGCTTTAGAAGTAAAAGCTTTTAACAAATAAAAAATTATATTTTTATAAAAAAAAATACCAAGGAGGATTGAGCGACTTCCGGGAATAAACATGGCAAGCAAGCCCAATCAAATCATCGATAAAAGCAGTGTTCAAAATGTAAATAGTCAATACATGACCTTTCTCCCCAAAATATACAGCCGGAAAAAGAATGTTGAATTTTTTAGAGCTGAAAGTGCATTCCTATAAAGTTAAGTTTATCAATTATATAGGAAGATTTTAACAAACCATAGCCTCAAACTTTGCATATTCAGCGAATGAGAGAGAACAAGTCGAATTATCAACAGATCCTTCAGAGAATTTTGCTTGAGAAATAAGTCTAAAAAAGAAAGATTCTCAAATTTTATTTAAACTAGAACCTGCTAGTAAGTGAAAGAGGTTTTTGCCCGTCAAAAAGTTCTTCAGGATTTTTTGGCTCAAATTTTAATGTACATTCTGTAGGCCTTTGATGGAAAGGAAGTGAAGTTTTATTAAATGATCGTCCACTGCGTTCAATTCCATTCAGTTGTGCCAATAAATTTTTACGAATTTGTTGATACATTTGCTGAGAATCGTCTTTTGTAGAATATTTTTGCTGTTTAAATTGTTTTTGAAGTTCGTAATGTAGAGATGAAGGGCCTGCCTCATCTTCTCCTTTACACATTTCCAAAGGAAGACCACCTGGTACAGCGTGCCTGCAAGATAGATTTATTAGACAAATTTATTCACAAACAGTCAGGAATAAAGTGATCAGAAAGCGATATAAAATAGCAAACTAATAACGCAACTTGTTTATTGGAAAAAATTTTATGAACGGTGCCAGAAAAATAGCGAAACATCAGGAAGCCCTTTCCCTAGCCCAACAAAACCAAAAATAATATTCTAATTAAACCTCCTTGGAGAAAGTAGCACTCTATTATCAAATCCACTATCATTCAATAGAGCAACATTATGGCGAATACAATCAATCAACTCATCTGTGGTGAACTCTGCCATGTTTCATAATTCACTAATTAATTCAAAGTAAAATTTAAAAAATAGATAAATATTGTAAGAAAGAAAAAAGCGCACAATTCGCTTAAAAATAAAAAATGTAACGAGTATAATTATTTTTATTTTAATTAAAAGAGATCTAATTGGGATTTCTAAGTAGTGTCCCCTTTTAGAGTTCTGGGAAATTGTCAAGAACGAAAAAAACAACAGAAGAGGGGGAAAAATTATAAACGGTCCAGAAAAATAGAGAGTTACAATTATAAAATTTTTGAAATCTCATCACGTGATTTAACATGCATATCTCTCATTTCATTAATCAAATTTTTAAGCTGCAAGGCCAACTCTCGAACTAAAAATTATTTAATAATTTTTAGAAAAATAATTTTTAAATATTTCTAACCGTGTCTTTCATCAAGCAACTCAATTTTTACTGCAACCGTTTTTCTCTTCTCCAAAAAATTCTCTCGGCTTTGTTCTCTATGTCGTAGCATTGCACGGTATTCGTAATTCCCTGTTTGCATTCTTGGTAGAAGTTCTTGAATCATTCCATATTCAGCTTCTTCATCCTCTAATTCCTTCACACGTAAACAATATGCTAAATACTCATATTTTGCATCCAAATATTTTGTTAACGTTTGATGAACGTCTGGAATGGCTGCTTCAGCATGACATTTTAGTGCTTTAACGAGTGATTCCAATTTGTTGGAGAATAAATGATGACCAGTGCTCAAGTGTTTATGAATATCTGAGAGACCAGTAAAGTCCTTCTTGAGATTAACTTCTTCGCCTATTACTTCTTTGATCGAAAGTTCTGAAAAAACACTCCCAATACAATTTTGTGTGTCAGATATTGTATGATAATATTTAGCCATTTCTTCAGATTTTTTAATTAAATTTCTGTAGAATTTTTGGTTAGCTTCTAATTGCTCTTTAAGTTTTGCAAGAACATCATTACACAAAATGGCACGAGAAAGCCCCAAAGCATCAGCCGTATCATCATCAACGGAAGCTACAAATCGATGTTTAAATTTCTTCAATAAAATATCTATTGTTAGCGAGGCGCTTTCAGAATCAAATTGGAGACGATTTAACGAAATTTTTATTGGACCTTAAATGATGATTAATTAAATTGTGTAAATGTAAAGCATATAGCTATTTAATTCCTAAGGCTATGCAGTAGGCGGCAAGGTGTAATGGACAACAAACACATAAGCCCGGTCTACTGAAGATGCTGGTTTGCTCCCAGCCGCCGAAAAACCTTTTGCACTAGCTAGAGGAGAGAAATAGCTATAGCCCGCTGCTTTACTCAAATTTAGAAAAACAAACCTTGGGTTTCTTTTATTAATGAAGCAACTTCAGATTTTTCGAATCCTCTGACACTTTCTCCATTTATTGACACAATTTCATCTCCCAATCCAATAAGTCCATTCTTTTTTGCAGGTGTATTTTCGAATATTTGAACAATATAAAGACATGGACAAATTGGTGCACCTCCTCCAATAGCAATACCGATACGACCTTTGTTGTCTTTTTCAATTTCAATTACATCTGCATTTAAACGAAGATTTTTTGCATAGTCAAACATTTGTTAGTAGTAAGGAATTTAAAAATACTTCTTCACATCATCAAAATAAAAAACATAAAAAATTCGAGGAACGTAGAAACCTTAAAAGTAAGGAAATATAGAGAAATTTGAGTTTTTGCCTCCGCAGCGGCAAAAACTTTTTTCCGCGGAGGTTGGTGTGTTTATGTGTTTTTGCCCCAAACACCGAAAACATCCTGCGCCGAAAAAAATGGCGCCTATTCGTCCGCGCCTATTTGTCCTGTTCCGACTCCAAAAATAAACAGCTGATTCAGAGTTGATCGATTTAAAATAAGGCAGAATTTTGTTAACTGCAGAGTTTTGCTACAAAACTGGGACATATTCCTATCGTTTTTATTACTTATGTCAGAAACGGAAGGTACAGATTTAAAAGGAGTTGTGCGCCTTCGAATAGATAAAGTTGCTGAGCTTGGCGCAGAAGCAACATTTTCACTCGCTGAGAAAATCGCTAAACTTCCCTGGTATTTCTTAAAATATTCTAACTTAATTTCAAAAATTTCAGGAGATTAGAAGTACTGAAAACTGCAGGGGAAGGTCAGCATTCTCCACCAACTCTAGCAGTTTATGTATATTTTATCAAAGTTTGTTTTAAATACTTTATATCTTTAAGGTATGGAGCAATTGGTTAAACAAGTCAAATAGTTGGTCGTGTAGAGCTATTGTTAAATTTATAATCAAATCTCGTGAGCTGGACTTTGTCCGCAATTTTGAACATAATTTTTGTGCTAAACAACCATTTGTGAATTGGACAAGGCTTTTGGATCCTGGAAGTAGTAGCTATTCTTCTTCACATGACAGTAAAGAATATGAAGACTCATCTTTAGAGATTGAAGCGCAAATTTGTGTGAAAGAAATTATTGGATATGGGTTTGATTTTTGTTTCTTTTTTTTGCATAATTAGGGTAGCTCCCCGTTCTCCGTACCACGACCCTGACGATTTTTTTGGCAAAAACCCCGACCCAAAAGTCAACACCGAAACCCGACATGCTCTCCTCGGCTAACTCCGATCCCCGACACACCCGCCCCCGAAGGATCGGGGAGCTACCCTAATCCTAATAAGTAATAATTTTAAGCGTTCCAACAAAAGAAGATCAAATGTTTGTGAATGGTAACATATTTGTCGTGAATAAATTTGTAAGCAAAAAAAGTAAATAAAAAATATTATTTATTCAATTTGTTTATAGCTTCTTGCTGCTCATTCTCCATATTTTCGAGCGTTTTTCTTTGAGGATCGCTTCCGCGAGTGTCAGACACAAACTTTTGAAATTAACGATAAAGAAGTTGATGTGGATATGTTTGGTATCATGCTATCTTGTATATACCCTGATAATGGGAAGCCTAATGGTTTAGTTTTTGTCTTTCTATATCAGAAATCTTTTTATTTTCTATAATTTTATTTTAGACAACAATGTTGAAACCATTCTGCAATTATGTGATAAATACGATCTTCAAGTGGTCAAAGAACGCTGCGAACGTTTCCTTATAGAAGATAGCCGAAAATGTTTTGTTTTCAAGTACAGAATGGCCGAGCAATATGGGCTTAGTTCTTTAAAGGTTTTTAGATATACATATTATCTGATTTTTAGTATTTTGACAAACTTTTTAAGTGTCATTGTTTTAATTCAATCAACCCAAATGAATTTTGCGCTCGTCTACTAGAAAATATCGCAGAATTCTCTGAACTCAATCCAAACTCTCAAAAAGTTCTTGATTTCCATCTGGCTAAGGTTTCTGAATCTGAGAAAAGCGAACATAATTTGGCCTCAATTCTTCAAAATGGGTTGTTGATGAAGCAGATGCAACAAAATAAAATTATCTAAGGCATAATTTTTGTTTCGTAAACCTCCCCAGCTAAATATTTTCCCCTTTACCTATGCACGCTGTTTTGTTTAGAAATCCCCTTGATTTTTCAGATTTTTTATAAACTGGTATATTTTTATTTTATTTGTGATTTCTTTATTTCCACTCATATTTTCGAATTGATCTAATTTTTTTTTAATTTATTTAAATGTTTTTTAATTTTACGATAATAATAAATATGATTGAAATTTTTTGCTTAATATTATATATTTGTTATGGAAAGCATAAAAATTTCCTTTTTGATTGTTATTGCTTTTATCTTTCGTTGACCTTTTTTCCTCCACATTTCAATACACATAGGTATTTTTTTTAATTTTACATTATTTTAGATCCACTTGTTGGATTGGACAAAAATTCTTGCAATTTCTCATGCGAAGCGTTCTTCGCTCTATTCTAAAATTACTTTATATTCTTTTAATTTTTATTAATTTGTTTACAACATTTTCTGAAGCACTGGCTCATTGGCGAATAAATCAAGTAAATTTTTATTGTTTTATGCTCACATCTGTCAAACTTTTCAGAAGCAACACTCTCTTGTTGCTCTTAATGATGATGAACTGAAGCAGGTGTCGGCGTTGACAGATATCGTCTCTATCCGGTCCCTGCTTCAACCAATTCTGGTAGAACGTCAAGTTGGGACTGAGGAGCATAAAAAAGTTGCAAATGTATGTCTTGAAATTAACATCTCTTTATTAGTATTATTCAAATATTTAAGCGGTTAAATTTTGGTGACAATTAAATAGACTGCGAAAAGTTAACTCGTAATGGGAAGGATAATTCTTTTATTTTAAGTACTTGAAAACAAAAGTAGAAGAATTTGGATTTACGACAGAATGGGACAGTTCTCCAATGATGACACCATATGGAGAAAAAACCTTCAACAATCTAATTGCTACACTTAATCCTCGGGTTCATAGGCGTCTAGTTCTGGCCTGTCATTATGATTCCAAAATATTGCCAGGGTAAATTTTTATTTTTTGAATTTTTAAAATAATTTTTCTAAATTTAGGCAAGTTTTTATTGGTGCAACAGATTCTGCCTTGCCTTGCGCACTTTTACTAGATATTGCAAAAACACTTCAAAAAAGAATTTCTTTTCGAGATAATCAAGTTATTTTCCTTTTAAATATTTGAAAAAAATTTTTTTTAGCATATTACTTTGCAATTGATATTTTTTGACGGTGAAGAAGCTTTTCGCGTATGGTCAGATCACGATTCAATTTATGGTGCTAGAGCTCTTGCTAAAACTTGGGAACGCAAATGGTATCCAACAACCGATGGAAGTGGCTTTGTATTGGGAAGAGAACTTGATAGAATTGTGAAAAATAAATCAAAAGTTATTTTTTAATTTAATTCTTTTTTAGGATGTACTAGTTTTACTTGATCTGTTGGGTGCTAAAAAGCCTAGAATACAGTATAGCTTTGGACATATGAGTGAAAAATTGTTTCAAAATCTTCCACGAATTGGTTTAAATTTATTAATAATTATAGTTGGTACCCAACGAACGGATATATGTTTTTAGGATAATCCAGGGGGGATTTTCAAATATAGAAAATTTTTATCGGACTAGTTCACTCAAAACTTTTTTATTTTCTGTCCACACAATCAAGGACTATACCCGCCTCCTCATAAGAGTAATCTAAAAGTGAATTTTACTTTTTCTTTAAAAATTTCTGATCTTGCATTTTTCTGATCCTACTCTCCAAAAATTCTTTTATTAAAAATATTTATAAACCAAATATTTTTACAGAAACCGATCTTAGCCGTTTGGGTGTAATAAACAAGCTTCCACGTATTTTCTTTCCTGGAGTATCCTATAGTGCAGCCGAAGACGATCATATACCTTTTTTACATAGAGGAGTTCCTGTTATGCATGTAAATTAAAAATTTTTTCTTAAAAATAAATTTAATATTTTAGTTAATTCCTATGCCTTTTCCTGATGTTTGGCATTCACCAAAGGATGATGCAAGTGTTTTAGATAATCCTACAATTGAAAATTTAGCAAGCATAATTCGAGTTTTTGTTGCTCGTTATTTGGGTATCCATCCGGCATAATTGAATTTTTTTTAATAAAAATACTTTAAATTTTCTGTGATATCTTTAAATTAATAGTTGTATGTATTTATGTTTGTCATTAATTAATAAATATGTACATGGAGAAGTAATTCTAATTACTTTTAATATTAAAAATTAGGGTAGCACCCACGCTTCGGGGTCGGAAGTGTTGGGGATCGGGTTTTGCGGAGAAGCCATGTCGGGGTTGTTGCCAAAAAACCGTTGGGTCGGGGTTTCGGGGTGCTACCATACCCAAAATGACAGATAATGAGAGCCAAACACTGTAGATTTTACTTTTTTGGATTTTGAATTATAAAAAAATATTCTTAATAAATACTTCCATCAAACAAAGAAATAAAAAACAACACAACAAAAAATCTAAAATATTAATCAGTTTTAGTTACTCTTCTCCTCATTAGAATTTCACTTTCAAAATCTTCACTTGTTAATTCCCCTTCCAATCTTATAAAATCTTCATTAAATACTGAATAAGCAGATAGTTCCCCTTCTTCACGTATTCCAAGATTTAAAAGAATTAAAAGTAACAAAAAAATTGCGAGGAAAACAAAGCCAAATTCTGCTTTAGCAGCCAAATATTGACCTGTAAAGTATTTTTAAAAAAAATAAATTTTTATTTTAAAAACTAAACAAATTGCCCAAGTAAGCCCAGTAAATATCCAACACATTAACGGATTTGTTGAACAAAATTCCCTCCATTTTCTCATTGGATAATTATCTAAAATATCAAAACCAAAATTTTCTAAAACATTTCTCCACGCTGGTTTTGGTAATTGAAGTAATTCTGATTTTATTTTCTTTTCATTATTTTGTACATTTTCTGTTGAGGTTTGTTGATTTTGATTTGTTTGTTGTTGTTGAGGGGGTTGATTCTAAAAACGAAATTTGAAATGCCGTATTTCTTCTGATAGTGCGACCAGTCGGGTTATTTTTCAACCTTCCTCTAGGGGGTCGGTTTATTAGAAGGGGCCGGTCTAATAGAGTTGGTTTATTTTTCACCCTCCCTCTAAGGTGTTTTCGCCTCTGAAAAAGGAAGAAAAAGGCACCTTGGCCCTCAAATTCTTCAAAATTTTCGCCTGCGGCGCTAAAAAAGGAAGAACCTCGTTTATAAAACTATCGATGGATTAAGAGATTTATTGGAAAGGGCCGGTCTAATAGAAGGAGTCGCACTATTAGAAGAAACACGCTAATTCACAGAATTTTCAAAAACCTTTTCAAATAAATTTGCTGGAGAAACATTTCTATTAATTTGTGTTTTTTGTTGTTCTAATAAATTTTGTTTTTGTGTTTCCTTTGCCAATAATGTTTGTTTTTTATTTTTTCTATAATTTAAGAGTTTTGCTTTCAATGGTTTTTCTTCATCTTTTTTATTGCCTGATTGGTTATTAAAAAATCTTCGCATCTTTAAAGTTTATTAATTTCTGTTTTCCTAGATTTGTATTTTCTAAAGCTCCCTTACATAAAATATTTTAAAATTTTGAAAAATATTTTTTCAAAATTTTCCCCTATGACTCATTGTTTACATTTTTTAGTTTTTCTAAAAATAATCAATATTTATTAACAGATGGGGAGATGAGAGAAGGAAGGTTTATTTTCTTTCTTAAAGGCATAAATGGGTATTTTTCGATGAAATCATAATAATGTTTGGGGAGAGTCGAGAGCAATAAAATTGTTAATATCAAGGTCATCTCGCTGTACCTGACACTTGCGGAACGAAATTCGCGCGGATTGACACTTGCAGTTAAATTTTATTTTTCAGTCATGTCACCCCTTCTTCACTTGTTTTGAAAGTTCTATACGCACTTGTTTGGGAAAAAACAATTCTTTAGTTACTATTTCCTTTTTTTGTTTACTCGCTGAATAGAAAATTTTAAATCATTTATCAAAAGGAACATTTATTTTTAAGAAATGTTCACATTTAATATTACTAAAATTTCAAAAAATTTAACGTCTTCTTTTTTCTTCTTAATTAATTAAATTTTATTTTTCATTTCAGAAATATTTTTTTAAAAAATGCAAGTAAACACTGAAGATATAACTGTTCCATGGGGACAAGCTCCAGATTCACTTGACCAACAATATGGAAAATGGCGACTTTCTGTTTTTCAGGATGTACAAGAATCTCTAGATACAAGCAAACTTTATTTTCTTTATGATCCAATTGCTGACGATACTTGCTACACAACGTACTTTAATTATCTTTTTCTAAAATATTTTTTTTAATTTTTTAGTGGCGGCAGGAAGGGAATGACTTGTTTAGTTGTTTTTGACACTAATCGGAAATGTTTTGTCGGGGAAATAAATTTACGTGTTCAAGGTATTTAAGAATTTAGAAATGTTAAATATCACTCATTTTTAGGCCGTGTTAAATTCCTTTTTGCATTGAAAAGTCCATCTCCAAGTGGTGGAACTGCTTTTGCATTAGTTACACAATCTGAGGATTATGGGCAATTTGTGGTTAGTTTATTTTTATTTCGGACGACTCAGACTGTCAGTCCGAGTCGAACGTTCAGACCGATTATTTTTCTCTTCCAACTGACAAATTGTCCGTAAGAACATATTTATGATCAAATTACCGCATTCTCTTTAATTGAATGGCACCTCTAATAGCTTGACAAATTTTAAGTGTTTACCTCCGTAATTTACCCCCATAATGTGTAAGAAGTCCCTTTCCTTTATTTAGATGCATGTCTGGCGTGTTAATATGAATTATGATGGAATGTCTTTAATGGCTGATCCACATTCTTTGCTTACTGCTCCAATCGTTATCGACTCAGAATTTATTTGTACAATGCGGGAAGATGAGCCCCAACTCGTTGTTGTTCACGGTCCTGGTCTTAATGTTGTTAAAATCAATGCAGAGGCGAGTGCTCCACAAGAACCAATGGATCGTTTTTCGGTGCCAGGATCTGAACTTTCACATTTTTATGATGGATTTGTTAGTCGAGGGTTTGTTTTTAAAAAAGTTTGGGTAAATCATAAATAATTTTCAGAAATATGTATTTTCTCTCTTCGAGTCCCGATGGACATTTTGATCACAGCCGTGTGCATATTTTAAATTTAAGTACTCGTGGTCCTCTCAGTACTCAATATATGAATGCTGATCCATCAAGAGGATTTCCCCCGCCTCGTAAACAAGCCGCAATTGATTCAATTTCTGGCTTCATTCTTCTGGCTGGCGGAGAAATTGATTATGGAGAGGGTGGTGTTGTTCGCTTAGTTGATTATTGGGTTTTGGATTTGACAACGTTTAAATGGAATCAAGTACCTGCACAAATGCCTGTGCCTTTAATTGAGCCTAGATTAACTACTGCTAATTCTGGTGAGTTTGGAAATTAAATTTAAATATTTTTTAATTTTTTGAAGCTGACAAATTTTCTAAATTACTTCAATTTATCTAAAATTTCACAAAATTTTAATATTACAGGAAATGTCTATTTATGGGGAGATTTTGACGAGCCTTTGCCTGGAATGCCACCTTCAGGAACACACGTCAGAATTTTGCGCATTAGGGGATTGAATACAACTGCTCCTCCACCTTATGCCCAAGCGACAGCCTATCCACTTCCAAATCAACAACAATATGGAGGTACACCATACCCGAATGCTGGAGGTTAGTTTTTTGTCGATTTTTTAAAAAAATCGAAAGTATTTATAGGAGGCCACGGGTGGAATCCTTCACAGCAGGGGGCAGGGAATGCACCACCATATCCAGGCGCTTCGCCATATCCAACCGGCAGTTCGCCTTACCCAACTGGAGCGGCTCCTTATCCTGCTGGAAGTTCATCTTATCCTGCTGGCAATACTGGAAGTGAAGGAAGTTATCCACATTATCCACCACAAGAAAAGAAGGAAAAGGATTGTACTTTGATGTGAAAATTTGGATTTAATTTAATTAAAATATTCCCAATTTATGTCACATAATTAGCAGATATTTTTGGAATATTTCCAACATTTTTATAAGATTTTGGAGTTTTTTTTAACATTTTTTTGGTCCTACTTAATATGACGATTCTCACTCTTACATACACTCATGTGGTTTTGCTTAGGCAGCCTCCTCCAAACAAATTTAAAAAATATAACTTAAGTTAACGTTTATCCATTATTGAGTGTAAGTAAAAGTGAGGGTCGTTATATTTAATATTCTAAACTTCAAAATTATAGCCTTAAACATTATTCTTAAAGACAGAAATGTTCCCCTTGACTATTAAAAATACTTTTCAGGCATTGCATAATTCGTGTACTAAAGTCAGACCTATCATAAACAAGTCCACATTTTTTATCGAAAAATTATTTAAATTACGATCACATTGAGTAGGTTCGACTTGCCATTTAATTTTTAGAAATGTGATTTAATTTTATTAAAATTTGAAGGAAATAAATTTTAGCAAAATTTTAATTTTCACAAAAGAAAATGCTTTTGTCTCATTCGAGGCTAAAAATTAGAGACAGGAACGAGAACTCGAAAGAAAAGCTCAGTTATTGAGGTTGACAGTTTTCAAGCTATCTCTCTCGTCAAAAAATTTTTTTCGAGATATCTCTCTCGGTTCTCCCCCTTAACCCTCCAAGTCCCGTCTCTAATACTAAAAATTATTTAAAAATCTAAAATAAATTCAAATATTTTGATTGCTTTGGTGATTAAATAATAAATTTATTCTTGTATTATTTTCACTTGATGTCTCTGTTGTAGGTTGACTCTGAATTTGTATATTATTATTTTGAAGCATTTTTTCCAATGATTTAAGAGATTCGCCAATACAGCCATTTAATGCTTCCAAGACGGCTAGCTTTTTTTTAAATAATAATTTATTAATTATTTTAATATTTTACAATTGCGATTCCACCAAATCCATGTGTAATCTAAAAATTGGGAATAAATTAATATTTGAAGTGTAGGGTCGCTCAAGACCGGTTTAGAACTGGTCAACCATTTTCTTGTTTTTTACCAAATACTTGTTTTATTATGGGGGAAATTTTAATAGAATGGTTTCAAATTTTTTATAGATTTGTCTGAAAATCTAAAATCTCTTTCAATTCTTCCATAACCCTCCAAGAGAGGTTTAATTTTACAAAAAAATCTCAAAACTAAAAAGTTCCAAAATAGGGCTCGAGCAATCATATTTTAAGACTTACCAAAGAGAAATGAGTAAGACGTTTTTGAATGGATGGATCTAAAATAAGTTCTGGTCTTCTATCTACAATAGGGCTTCGATCTGCACTCATTAATTCAGTAATTTCTTTTAAAAACATTCTGAAAATTATTTAAAAGTGTTTTAAAAAAAAGAATTTTTTAATTCCTCTACCTAGCAAAACTAAGCATTGTTCTGCGCCTATTAATTAATTCATTATCATTTGTTTGATTAGAGAATTGGATAAAACGATTATTTAAATAAAGTGCAGAATCTCTAATTGGGAATTCTCGTTGTAGAACTATACGGAAATCGTTGGCCTTGAAAAAATAATTATTTTTATTTTTTTTCTAATTTTTAACCAAATGTAAAGCTTCTTCCTCGACAAGTCTGAAAATAATGAAATTTAGTTCGCGCTCCTCATGAATAGAGTAAAGCATCTTGGCCATAGCTATTTCTCTCCTTTAGCTAGTGCAAAAGGTTATTCGGCGGCTGGGAACGAACCAGCATTCTCAGTAGACCGGACTGATGTGTTATCCATTACACCACACCGCCTACAGCACAGCCTTAAGAATTTACAATAGCAGGCGGTATGAATTAGGGTTGTCAACAACACTCCAAAAAATTTGGCGAAATACATCCAAAATATTCGAAATAACTTAAAGCCTTGTTAATGAATTTTAAATTTATCTACATGTGTACATAGACTACAGTATTTAAGCCCCAAGTTTTTCAGCTTTATCTACACATCCCTTCTAATATCTCTCTAACACGTCATGGTCTATCCCAACCATTTTCAATTCTTACTACGAGGTACTTAATTTCATTTTTTATTTCGTTTATCCATTTCTTTTAGTACTTTGGCGCTTCGAACTCGTCACTATATGGCTTTTAATCTTTGGAGTTGCACTTCTCTTAGCTGCTGTTTGTTGTAAAAAGAAGAAGAAAAAGGCAAAAAGGGTTCGAGTTTTCTTCTTCAATTCTCAAAAGATTCTCGAATACTTATAATTTCAGAGAACACACCCATCACTTCATGCAAAGCAACCATCATATTCTGGGCATCATGGTGCTACACTCCGCGATAGCAAAGGCTATGAACGTGTTGATGCACCCCAAGGAGTTAGTAAAGAATGGACATTCCCTTCAAAAGAAGGAAGTAAAACTACCACAAAACAGTCGTTAGCTGCAATAAGTACTCAAAAAACATCATCAGGCTTTCTTATGCGCACTGGGAGGCCTCTCTTCTCTGCAATTACAACATTAACGGCGTTGAGCGCTTCTCGAGATCCAGATAAAGAATTTGTGAGTTTAACTCATTTTTCTTTGTTTTTCTTTAAAAAATCTTTGTTTTTCCTAAGCTTGGCGATTCTACACTTAGTGAAGTGATTGGATATAAAATGCCTGATGTGGATTTAATCAAACAATATTATGAATATATGAAGAAAAGTGAACTTAAAGATGAACAAATGGAAGAAGAAGAAGAAGTATTAGTAGTAGAAGATTGAATGCAATAGATAAAATATATTAAATTGTTTTCATAAATATTGGGTTTTGTATTGCATTAAGTCTGTCTAGTTGTACATAATAAATATTGGATTGTTTTTGTTTACATTATTATTACCGTATATTCTCAAATACCCTGGGTAATTATTGTTTCAATCTCACTAAGAAGGGTAATTTGTTGAGAGAGAAGTCAAGTATTCGAGAGAGGGTAATTATTTGAGCATATACAGCAATTCGAAATGTATATGCTCTACGGAGTGATTTTAGGATTGGCTAACCATATTTTTGCAGAAACCGAAAAAACTAGGCGCGTATAAAAATGTCAACAAGTTACATTTTAATTTTCCCCTTCTCGGTGTCTCATCTCGGTATCTCCAACAAGACCGAAAAAGGAAACGCGTCGGGTTCCGTTCTAACACTAGTTATAACCATTAATATATTTAACTCCCTTATCGAAAGATTTTCTTGAAAGGAATTTAATCAAATATTTACGCTGTAAAAGCAGTCACACAAGTAGATTTTCTTCTTCCAGCAGGTAAACTTAAACCTATTCGTTTCAATGATTCCCTTAAAGCTTTCCCTCCATCTTTAGATTTTGCTCTTTAAAAATAAATTATTTTAAATTTATTTTTCTTTAAAAACTACTTTCGAAGAATTCCCCCAATTAAAGAAGCATTCAGACATTCTGGAGGATTTATCCTCCTTTGAATTTCCCCAACAGTTACTTTATGTTTAGTTGTACTACTTAATAAACTTGTTCTTCCTAAAATAAATTTTTACAAAAAAAAATCATTTTTTGGTACCTGGGACAGTACAAAATGTTTCAAAAGGTGAACGACTTTGAAGAAAAATATTAGGGATTGAATTAGTAATTCCATATTGAATTTCCCCTCCTTCAGTTTTTACAGCATTATTTTCTTCTTTAAAATATGTAATTTTTTATAGTTTTAATAATTTTTGCTATTTATATTTCATATAATATACAGAAAAATGTAAAATAAATTTTCCGTTATTTAACAAAAATTAATGAAAGAATTAATAATTTATGTAGAGTCGAAATTCCTATTTTCGTCTTTAAATTTCCGTCATTTCCAGCTACATATCTGACTGGAATTTCCAACAAATTTCTAAAAATTTATTTTCACCTTTTTGTAGTAAATTAATTTGTTGTTCTTGTGTAAACGTTTCTAAAGACATTTCTTGATTTATTTGCATTGGTGTATTATTATGATAATAATTTAGAATCATTTGTTGATTATTATTAAATGAAGAAGAATAGGGAGGAATTGGGGAATTTATTGAATTTAATTGGATATTAGTAGATGACTAAAAATAAATTAAATAAATTTACAGTGGCGGAAATTTAAATAGGGAAAAATGTTTTTAATTTTATTTTCAAAAATTATTCGGCTAATCATTTATATCGGGTCATTATTTTTATAGAGTTTTGTAGCTCTATCTATGAGCTATCAGATTACTATTAATCATTAAAAGAAAACTTTACATATAAGCGGAAAAAAATCATTTATCTATCTTGACTTAAAAAGTGCGCGGAAAATTAAATAGGGAAATTTTTTTATTAAGTTTTTCTATGGAAAATCAATTTAGAAAAAATCTGAAAAAATTTCTGGGACCTTCTCTATCAATATGATGAAGCATGGCAAAAAAATCTAAATTTTACCTTAACTCCATCATCGAGATCTCGAGGCCCAAAATCAACGGAAAATGGGGGTGATTTGAGGGTGATCTGATTTTAAAAAATATTTTGGTCCATCTGGCCTAGATAAAATTTTTCTTTCATGTTCAGATTGAAGCCCATTAAATTTGCTACAAAATAGGCTTAATGCCATTCCTTCAAAAAATTTCTTCTTCGAGATGAATACCGAAGATTTTCTAGTTGCAAAATTTATGACTGATTTAACACATTTTTCCCTAAATTAAAAGGTTTCAGCCTATATCTCGGAGAAGGAATTTTTTAAAAAAATGGCATAAGACTTATTTTATAGCAAATTTTATGGGCTTCAAACCTATCAAGAAAGAAAATTTCTATCTGTGTCAGATGGGCCGAAATAATTTTTTGAGACAAATCACCCCCATTTTCCGTTGATTTTAGGCCTCGAGATCTCGGTGAGGGAGTTGGGTTAAAATTAAGATTTTTTGCCATTCCTCATCATATTGCTAGAGAAGGTCCCAGAAATTTTTTCAGATTTTTTCTAAAGTGATTTTCCATAAAAAACTAAATACAAATTATTTTCCCTATTTAAATTTCCGCGCACTTTTTAAGTTGACATAGATAAATGATTTTTTCTCGCTTAAGTGAAAACTTTTCCTTTAATGATTATTAGTCATTTGATAGCTTATAAATAAAGCTACAAAACTATATGAAAGTCATGATCCTGCATTAATGATTAGCCGGATAATTTTTAAAAATCAAATTAAAAATATTTTTCCCTATTTAAATTTCCGCCACTGTATATTTAAATATTTAATTTAATACTTGAGGTAAATAATTATTATTATTGTTAATTATCCAATCATTCGAAAATGATAATTGTTGTTGTGTATTATTATCATATCTAATATTATTTGGAATTGTTGGAGGTGTAAAATAACAATTATTAAAAGGATTTTGTTGTAAATGTTGTTCTCCATTATTAAATTGACATGCCCCAGAACGACGAAATGGTAATCCTGAAATTATTTGGAAATAGAAATAAAAAGAAAATAAAATATTTTTTAAATAATTAATTGCCTTAGAAATTATCCTTAATTTTTACAACAATTCTGTAAATATTTCTCTCTCTCTAAAGATATCATCAATAATATTTTTATAATATTAATGAGTTTGAGATAGGTAGGTTTGTTAATACTGGACATTCTACTAAATACATTCCTTTATTAATTATTTCAATCTAAAATTTATAAGGCTTTTATTGGAATTAAATTATTTTGTAAATATTTTGGGAATATTTATGTTTATATCTTTTTTACTTAATTTTTTCAAAAAAATTATTAAATTTCAAAAAATATCCATACCTTGCTCAATTTGTCTTTCCCTTTGAGCATTAAAAGGAATAACATCCATTTGTTGCTGTTTTTGTTGTTGAATTGCTGCAGCACTTTCGTCTTCGGAAGCAACACATTGTGGACGACGTTTGCTAAGACGGCTCATTTAAGAAATTTTTTCAAAATTATTTCTTAATAAAATTTAATTTTTTAAGAGAAATTTAAATAAAATAAAAAGAAATTCTTTCAAAAAGGCAAACATTTATTTAATTTAAATAATTTATTTATTATTTTAATTCTTTATGGGAAAACAAAGGATTTGTAAAAATTTATGAAAGATTTTGGACTTTTTTTAAATAAAAAAATTTAAATTTTATTTAAGTAAAAAAATACCCAAAAATTTTTAACTATGCATTGGAATTTTTATATTTAAAAAATTTTAAAAAATTAAATATCACCTCTTGTGACTAAAATTTTAGAGAAGGTGATATATAGGGGTAATATGTGTGTTTTAATTTCTTCCTCCTATCTTCAAACAACATATCATCAAGTAAGGTATAATCAGCCTTATCTTTGAGTCATTACTTTTGAGATATAGCTTTGTTATATCTCAAATACTGGACATTCTACATGATTTCAAAAATTTCAATCCTTATAGATGTAAAACATATGAAGGAATGCCACTTATGCTTATAAGGAACGTCTGCCGCCTGAAATATTAGAGAAAGTGTCGGTAGAACAATTTGAACTGCGATCAAAGAATTTTAAGTGAGATAAAAAGGGTATTGACATTTGAGGAGACGGATTCGCTTTATAGGGCTTCAACTATATTATAATTTAATGGAATTCTGATAATTGTTTAAAATAAATTTTATATTAAATGGACAAAAATTATTGATCCTTTATTTAAAAATGTATCATAATAATTTTTTATAAATTAATTGAAGTTTCCGCTCAGAGGAGGTACCCGGAGGAGTTTGATGTAAATTGCTAGAGGCACACATCTTTTCTTTTATTAAAGATTTTTTAATAATAAAATTATTTGTTTACTCATATGGCACATGAAAAAAAAAATTTTTTTTAATATTAAATATTTGAATTAATTACTTTTAATTGTGATATTTAAATGATATGATGAGTAAATTATTTCTAGAAAAGAATTTTTTAGAAATAAAAATATTTAAAGAATTCATGGATAAATAAAGTGAAGAAACTGTGAAATTTTTTAATTTAAATTTCAGGATTTTTACAAAATAAATTTTTGGCAAAAATTATTTTTTAATCAAATGTTCTTCATAGAAAAAAAAACAAAAATTCATAACTGTCAAGTTGCAATTCCAGAATTTTTCAAGATTAAATTTCCCCAATTTAACCCATAACTCGTTCTGAGAGGGCTTCTACCTTGGGTGATTTTGTTTTGGATATATGGAATCTAATTGAGCCGAGCTTTAATTAAGGGATGTAAGGGAATTATTAAAAATATTGTAAAAAGTATTTATTAAAAATTAAATTAGAAAATTAAAAATCACATAAAAATAATTTTAAAAAATTATTTAGTACATAGATTCTAAATTATATCTTTCTTTAACTTCATTCCCCATATTTCTTAAAAGAATTTGACTAAAATTAAAAATCTTTTTTTTAATAATTTCAATAATTTTTACAAACGTTTTTCTCTTTCCAAAAATTTCATTCATTATTTCCTTCAAAACAACAGAATTTCCAAAAATAAAATCTCTAAAAGGGTCGGGTTTAGGAACTTTAATAACTTCAAATAAATATCCTTTTCTCCATTTAAAAATAGTATCAGGTCCTCTTCCATAATATCGATACTTTAAAAAAAATTTTTTTTTTAACTTTAAAAGCCAAAAAAACCAAAAATCGGAAAGAAGCTTTTAATTTATTTTCATTTTCTTTTAATATTTTATCAAGTTTTTGAAAAAATTCATTTTCTCCAACAAATTCATCCCTGTCAAAATAACTACTTAAAGTACAAGTAAATGTCTCTAAAGCCTTTAAAATAAATAAAATTATTTTTAAAAATAAATTTTTTTTACATTTAAATTCCTCAAAAGTTTCAATGCATATTCACTATGTAAACAAAATGAGCATGGATTATGTAATTCCAAATTCTAAAAATTGAAAGAAAATTGCGGATAATTGCGGGTTTATTTTATTTAACTAAAAACCCTCTCAATAATTTTGAAAATACCTAAAACTTTTATTTTAAGGTTGACAATTTTGGATATCTGGAACCGAAAAAGTCTGGGATAATCAAAAATATTCGTTCGGATATCGGTTATCTGTTGATTTCTAAGAACAGCTAACTTTGGGTAAGTAAAGACTAGTGTTTCACCGAAACCGAAATTTTGACCGGAACCGGATCCAATTTAAGTTCCGGTTCCCGGAACCGGAACCAAAAAAACACCGGAACTTTCCGGAACCGGAACCGGAACTTCCGGTGAAACTCTAGTAAAGACAAAGAACAAATCCCCTTTTGGTATTCGCGTTCAAAAGTTGTAAATAGGGTTGCCGTTTTCGGTTCGAGCCGACGTTCGGTGCATTTTTTTCGAGTTTGGTTTTTTTCGATTCGGTTCGTTTTCGAGCTAAAAACCTCGGCTCGCTCGATCTTTCGAGTTTCGGTTCGAGCGAGCTGGCAACCCTAGTTGTGAGTCTTCTAGGTTAACCCCCTATAAACTGTTTTTAACTTAAGTATTTGCTCAATTTAATTAAAAACAAAATTCACATTATTTTTCTTACCCTTAAAGGAGTAATTGAATTTAATTTAATTAAAAATTCAAAAATAAAATCATCAAATCTAGCATCTCCATTATCACAAAATAACTTTAAAAAATTAAATTTTAATTCAAAAAAAAATTTCTAAAACGCTGTGAAAAGGCATTGATTCATTTACACACCCTCTCAAAATAATAAAAATTTTTATTGAAAGAGAAGAAAGTTTTTTGAATGAATAAAGAGCTTCTAATTGTCGAGCATCTACTGGGCCCTCTAAATCACGAACATAATTTTCCCAACAAAAATCTAAATGTTCCAAATTTGGACAAGAAGAGGCTATTTTTAATAAATCTGACTTGAAAATAATTTTTATATTTTTTTAAATTTAATTTAAATATACATTATTAAGTGGAGAATAATCGTAAACTGATAATGCACGTAGAAAATATAAATTTGGATGTAAATCTAAATATTTTTTGTTTATTGTGTAAAAGAAAGGTGAACATGGACTAAGAAGCAAACTTAAATTAAAATAGATAAGTATGTATAGTATATGTATTAGAGCTTCGCCGGAAGTTGCCGCAGTTCCGGCCTTCAGTTCCGGTTAAACCGGAATTTTTAAGCACCCCTAAGGATTTGATTTCTCATTTTCTAAATGGAAGAAAGTAGCCTACAGCCTCTAAAATTCTCAAAATATTCGCCTGCGGATCCGAAAAAAAGTGAATTTTTTGGCCTACGGCTTTCTAAAATCTCAAAAAAAAACAAGAAATCTGGCTTGTTAGCCAGATTCCCTGATCGGAATCTGTCATTTCTACTTTTGGGTCTTTTCTGCAGTAAAAATTTTTATTACAAATTTTTTAAACAGTCCCGGTTCCGGCCAAATTTGCGGTTCCGGCGAAGCACTAATATGTATTACGCAAATGCAGTATGAAAAAGTAGAATTAAAAAAATAAAATTGTCTTTTAAAAATAAAATCCCCTCTCCTATAAAATTTTTTAAAAATAATTGTTTTTATTAAAAATCTTAAATTTTTCTTTTATTTTATATGTATTTTTTAGATTTTATTAAATAATTTAATTTTCAAAAAAAACTTTTTACCTAAGAATTTTTGTGTCAGTTAATTCGTCAGTATAATCATATTGATTATAAAACAATAAAAACCAAAGCTTTGGGCAAATTTTAGAAATTTCATTCAAAGTTTTGACTGAATAATCAAAAATAAATAATTGTTGTAATGTTGGGGGTAAAAACTGTTTTTGATTAATTTCTAAAGATCTCTCAAAAATTTCCTCAAAACGATTAATTCGGAGACATTCAAGTTTTTGACATTTTAAAATTAGCGACAAAAATGCATCGAGAGTTTTTTTCTGTTTTTTAAAAGAAAATTAAAATTTTTTGAATTTTAATTTGTTTTTCTTAACGACTTTAATTTTTAGAATTTATCCAGTTTAATTATCCACTTATTATTTAATTATTTTAATTATTTAATTATAATTATTTATTTTAATTATTTAATTATCCATTAATTATCGCAAGATCGAAAGTCATAAAATGGTCAACCAAACATAAGGGAGTTGGCGAGACGCTTGTGCAGAATTCTGCGCTTCACATAAGGTTTGAGGCACGAGTTTCGGGGGGAGTCAACGGTTGCTCGGGTTAGTACTCAGTTATATTGGGGGATTGTTGGCATGCGAATAAATGGGGGTGTAATTAAACACGTAACTTCCTAATTTTTAGTCTTCTAATAAATATTTTAAAGTAAAAGAATTTTTAGAAAATTTACTTTTCTATTAAGAACTAAACCCAACGATAAAAGATTAGGAGCTAAATACTCCTCAATTTGATTTAAATGCCAAACATCAATCGGTTCCTCCATAGAAAAATGTTGAAGAAAAGGCGTCAAATAATGGAAATAACGGCCTAAACGTGTTGAAACTTTAATTCCTCTTTCAATACAAAGTAATTCTAAATATGGAGCAGACCGACGAATTAAAGCACTGAATACTCCTAACTAAAAGAAGTAAAAAATATTTTAATGAAAGGAATGGAATTTATTATTTTATGGAATTATTTTGGAATTATTTTAATTTAAGGGAAGTATTCTTATTATTAGGTATCCGAATTAAAATCTATGCATAGTTATGTATGTGGATAGATATCAACGCCCAACCTCTAAAAGTTAAAACTTTGTACACTTTTTGATTTAAAAATTTTAATTTAAAATAATTATTAACTAGTTATGGTCGGGAGTTCAAAAAACCCGGGAAAATTCCCGACTCGGGAACCGAGACCGAGAGTCTCGACCATCATTATTATTAGAGATCGGTAATTTGCATTTGCAGGATCCTGAATCAGGATTGGGTTTTAAAATTTCGAACAGGAAGGATCCTGCAGGATTAATCATGAAATCCTAAAAAAAGGCAGGATTTTGGAAAGGATCCTGAAAAATCCTGTGCCGATATCTAATTATTATTCGAATCTAATTAATTATAATTAAAAAAACAAACAGTTCTTGAAGACCGTTTTTCGTCAAGTAAATTATTACAAAGGAACTTTCTGTGCTCATCCACCAAATATTTTTGTGGTGTAAAAACAACTAATTTATATTTACTTTTTTTCAAACTTAATCCTTCAACTGATTTATTAATTAATTCTTTTGTATTTTTAAAATTTTTGTATAAAAGTAAATCTTCGTAAACAAATATTAAATCTTTACAATCCAACCAAGCAAAATTCAAACACAAATCTTTCCAATCTTTACAAACACGTTCAATTTTAATTTTTTCATTAAAAGTCAGAAAATCAAAAATATATTTCTGGAAAAATAAATATTCTCAATTTATTTTTTAAAAATTAAACCAAAATTTCTGGAGGCAAATCTTGAAATTGCATTTTAATATTTTATAAATTAAATATAAAAATTGGTTAATTTTGTTAAGGCTATATGTATTGTGAAATAAAAATTAGGTAAACGTCAATAAATGATAAAGCAAGAGAGACCACAGTTCGGCGCAACACGTTTCGGCCCGTCGATGAATTTTTTCAAATAAAATATAAAAATTTATCGTGTTCTGTGGACTGGGTTTGTTCTGAAATTGAAAAATTTTCGCCTGAGGCGCAGAAAAGGGATGAGTTCTTCTTTATTGGCCTTCTAAATCGGAGCAGTTAACTGACAAATGAGTCCTCACGATCGAGTCGGCCTTGTATATCAGGGGTGTTTTCGGTTTCGGTTAACTGAAGGTCCCTCACTTCCAATATTTTCAAAAGTTTTTGTCCATAAGGCTCCCGGAAATTTGGGGAGTGGACACTTGGGGAGTGGACATTTGGGGAGTGGATAAATGGGGAGTGAGCGGACAATTGGGGAGTGGACATTTGGGGAGTAGCCTAACGATAAAAATAAAATAGAATATTAAATAGTTTTTCTTGCTTTTGTATGTATTTAAAGTAATTACCGGCGCGGGACGGGATATCGCGCGGGTTTTGCGGGATTATACCCGCGGGATCCCGTCCCGCAGACTTTTTTAGAAGTTACTCCCGCATGCGGGATCCCGCAAAATATTTTGCATTTTGCGGGATTTCAGAGAAATGAAGGCTTTTGGCCCCTTGGCTTTTAAACTTTTTTTTCGCCTGCGGCGCTAAAAAAGGAAGAAATCTGGCATTGTTGCCTTCCTAAATTTTAAAATTTTCGCTGTGGCGCTAAAAAAAGAAAGAAATTTGACTTAGTTCAAAGGATTTTAAGAATATATGAGGGATTACTCATTACTTCTTTTGAATCTCGGTGCTGAATCCGGATCTTCCGTCTGATCACTCTCCTCGTTGATCATCTTCAGCTGGTTACTCGAGTCTCTCGGCTGACTCTCTCGGCTGATGACACGATCGTCACTCGACTGCTCACTCCCCAAATGTCCACTCCCCAATTGTCCGCTCACTCCCCATTTATCCACTCCCCAAATGTCCACTCCCCAAGTGTCCACTCCCCAAATTTCCGGACACGGTCCATAACATTTATTGACAGCCTTAATAATACCTTTGTATTGGGAGATTCTACAGTATGAGATAAAACAACCTCTATTCAAATTTACGCCAAATACGATATAAAAAATTTATTTCTCTATCTATTCTTCTTTTTATTTCTCTCTGTCTGTCTTCATCATTTTAAAGTTCTGTCACATTTTCTTTTTTATCGACCGCATTTTCCTTTTTTTTATTTCAAGTCCTATTCAAACTGCTCTCGAGTTTCCTTTCAAAAGTTCTTGATTGATTGAAAACGTATTACCACAGTAAGTACATGTGGCCTGAAACGCGAATTTTTAATCGAAGAGGATTTTGGATAAAAATTATTTAATCGTATTCATAATTGAATTTATGAGTTAAATCTGTTAAGATTGCATTCTTTGGGGGGTTTGGTTAATGTTGTTTAGAAGTCTGTTAGGAAGAATATTTTGAAATTGATGAATGTGTACATGGGGTATTTGTTTAAAACATTTTTATATTTTAGGTAAAATATTTATAATATTCGTATGTCAAGTCATAGTAGAAGTGGTAATCCAAATGGTGAAAAGTCTGGCGTTGGTGCAGGTTCTGGTCCTCAACATCGTAAGAGGCAATCGCCAAATAATCAAGCAACAATAGGTTTAAACAATTAATTATTTAATTGAATTTACATTTGTGTCCACCTCTTTATATGACACCCTGGGTTTGCAGCATAAATTTTGTATTTGTGTTAATTCCTAGCTAAATGTTAGGAATAATCCTCTACTCGTAACAAAAAAAATTTGTGCTCTAGTTGTTGTCGTATAGGGTGTCGATCTAAAAAGTTGACCCATTTACATTTAGTGAACAGTCCTGGTTCGACGGCTGGTGGAGTTCGTGATCCTTCTTTGGCGGCTTCAAGTAAATTGCGAAAAGTTTCGACTACTGCTGTATCATCAAATGTATTTACTTTAATATATATAAATTTGCTTTCTCCTTTTTTTAGAATGAAAAAGGACAGGAAGTTGTCTCAAAGGCCAGTAATAAGCAAGTGGTTGCTTCTGATGAAGGCGCAGCTGGTACAAGTACAGGGTCGAGACGTCCAGCTCGTGAACTCTCTGCTCTTATTCAACCATTCCCTGAGAGGGCTGCCATTTCTGAGGAGCGTCTGACTCGTTCTAAATCAAAAGCTTTGGTATTTTTTGTATATTTATGTCCCACATAAGGAAGGTTTATTCAAATTTCTTTAAATACTTTAGCAGAAAGCAATTGCCAATGAAGGAAGTTCATCTTCAAACACTTCGAAAGCGGGAAAATCTGATCTAGCTGCTTCGCAGAATGCAGCCTCTTCATCGAACACAACTGGAAGGTTCGTATTCATATTTGAATTTATTCATAGTTTATTTTAGTCATTCCGCGACTGAGAAGACGAAAACTGCCGAAACTTCAACAACTTCAAAATCGGTTCAATCGGGGTGGGTTAAATTTTTTGATTTTCTTTTCAATATTTAACCTGCGTGCTTAATACTTTGCGCGCATTCTTAAAAAATATTTGCGTTGCTTTAGCGATCTTGTGGCTGCGGCCGCTGCTGTTGTTCACAATCCTGTATCATCTGAAGCCTTTGTCGCTGCAGCCGCAGCTTTTGAAAATCGGTCACCTCGTTTTGCCTCTTTGTTGCACCAACAGGAACAGATAACAGCCTCAACAATTCTTCCTTCATCTTTTTTAACAAACACTTCAAATGCCTTGGCGTCTTCTGCATTGTTTGAAAATGTAAGGAATTATGTATTAATCCTAACATGATGTAGAGTTCTTATATCGCTTTATATCTTACTCATATATTGCATTTCAATTTAACCTTGTATCAGGGCTGATCGAAATAAAAAACACAAAAATTTTTTTCGTTGGATTTGTATTTTGTTTCACTTTCGAAACGAAATGGGAAAAATGCGTGAAAAGCGAAACTATGTTTTGATCAGCCTTGCCTATCAATAAGTTTGAATGAGGACCCTCTTTGATTGCATCCTATTTTCTATTTATTTTTGAGCTGACAATATTCCTTCTTAATTTTCTAACTTCAGAAAATACCACAAATTGTCAATACTTCGAATTTGGGATTACCTAGTAGCAGTTCCAACAACAATTTAAATAGTTATAACTTTTCACCATTAATGACCAGTTCATTACCATCCACAGTGGCAGCTGCTGTACATCAGCAAAGTATTATTGCCAGCACTGCAATTGCTGCTAGTGATTTTGCTGTTTCATTTGCTTCACAATTGGCAGCTGCTGCGGCTGTGGTTGGAGGGGTGGCGACTTCCACGGTTCGAACTGATTCAACTGATGCGGGTTCGCAAATTACTTTAATTTTTTGAGCTGACTTTTACCTTACTAATGAAGCTTGGAGCAAAAATCGCGCTCCAGTCTTTTTTAGTGCCTATTAATATTCTAGGATTGAGCTCGGAAGTTTTAATCCACAATGTACTAGTAACTAGTTTACTGAATAAGTATAAGTTATGTAATTTTCACTTTGCATTTGTATATTGTGCTTTTCTTTTCAAACAATTTTTTAAACTTTTTTGTAGTCACAGTCGATTCTTCAGCTTCGACAACCACAAGTTGCGATATGCAGCATATAGGGTTTACTTCATCCATTAATAACAACAATGTTGATAACAGCGGCTGTCCAATGGAAGTTGAACAACCTGTTGGAACATCACCATTGGTGACTACAATATCCCCATCACTTATTGGCATAAATAGATCATCACTTGATGATATTTCTATTGGTTCACAGCCCAGCCATGCACAGAATCAAAGCAGGGCGGTTGCAGCCGCAATGCTTGGAGCAAAGTGTGTCTCTTTGAGCAAAGCATTTGAACTAAACAGAATTAAAATTATGAAAGCAATTTAGCCTAATTTTTTTCTTTGCTTGCGTTTCTTTACTATCTTTATCTTTTCTGTTCATTATTATTAAAAGAGTTCATTTTTGGTTAACTTTTCTGCAGGTGAACCAAAAACATGTAAATAGCTGATCAAATTAGGTACACTCATAATAAGTGCCTTATAATTGCGCGATAAAATTTTTAAATTTTGGTTTACCTGCTTTGTCTATTCTTCTTTATGCGTTTAATATAATTAATTTTATAGGTCTCAACGTGCCGCTGGATTTCTTAGTACCATCGTGCCTCGTATGCAGCATCTATTAAACTCAACTACAAATTCTACAACAGGTACTGGTAGCGCTGCTGCACGTGCAGGATATCTTGATTCGATTGTTGACGCCTCTTACAGCTATTCGCGTCACCACCATGCGACAAGTAAAATTTTTTACTATGATTACTTGTCGCATGATGCTGCTATTTCTGAATTAATAATTAAAATTCTTCTATTTAAGCTCCGGCCATGCTTTCGATCGTTGAGGGTCTCAAATCATCGAATGAAATTCGTCAATCAGAAGCGGCATCTGAATTAGCAGAGATGTTATTGCTAGGAAATGAAGAGAGCCTTCCAAATATGCCAATTGTTGAGATTGTTCAAGCTCTGTGTGGACTCCTCCAAAAGGACGATAATTTTGAATTGGTTAAAAATATTTTTTTCTAAATATTACTTTCATTTTCAGATGCTTACTGCTGCTCGCTGTATCACAAATATGCAGGAAGCGGTATCTTTCTTATACCTAAATTTCTGTTTTTTATTCATTACTTTTCCCAGCTTCCTCGAGCTCTTCCAGCAATCGTTGAGACAATTCCTTTACTTTTGGCAAAACTTAAACGTATCGAATACATTGATGTGGCCGAGCAGTCATTAATTGCACTTGAAGTTATGTCGCGTCGTAATGGCAAACAAATTCTTTTGCAGGTGAATTTAAATATAATCGGGGACTATTATTGTTCTTTATTATTTTTATTTTTTGTCATAGGGAGGCATTGCATCAGCAATTTCTCATGTCGACTTCTTTTCTTTGCCTTCACAACGTCTTTGTTACCAGATATGGTCTTATTTCTCACATTTTATCATATTTTATTTCTTTTAGCGCAAATTGTGCATTAAACGTTTCTCAAAATGAATTTCATCTTGTAAAGGATTGTTTGCCTGATTTGACTCAGAGATTAGTTTATGTTGATGTATGTTTTTATTTTGTTTTTTTAACAATTTTTCTAAATTTTAGGATAAGCGTTGTGTTGAATCGATCTGTACATTTTTCAACAGAATTATTGAAAATATGCGCCAAAATGCTGACCGTCTCCGTCAAATCACTGGTACTAGCTATGAATTTCTTCAAAATGTTCAAAAGATCATCCGGTGATTTGAAAGATCATCCGGCATCATCCGGTGATTTGGGAGAGCGAATTAATAATGGTATTAATTCGCGTCCTTCAGTTCAAATTAAGGAGATTATTACATTAATTGGGTTTTTTAATTTGTAATTTATTTAAATTTAAAATTATTTAGTCAACTAGTCGAAAATTTGCCCCGTGGTGGAGAAGAAGTTGTTTCTTTATTACATCTTATACCACTTCTAGTCGACATTGGAAGCAATTCAACTTGTTCTCAATTACGTAATGAATCTCTGAATGTGATGAGTTCTATTGTTAAAATGGTTGATAAAGTTGACACTTTGGAGCCAATTCTACGTATATTTTTTGTATAAATCTAAAATCATTTTAAAAAATTTAGGCGATATCCCATTGGCTGTTTTTATTACTCAAATGTTGAGTTCTAATCGGAATCTTGGGACACTGCTTTCTAGTCTTCAACTATCGAGAGTTTTGCTTGATAAACTTCCACAATTGTATATTCCATTGTTTGAGGCTGAAGGTTATATTTGATTTCAATTTTAATAAAAATTATTTATAGGCGTATTTCATGAAACTCGACGTCTTATGTTACCTATTGAGGCTCCAACCATTGATAGAAAGCCTAATTACTCTCGTAGTTCGATGGCAGAACACTTATTGGAAGGATTGGTAAATTCCCACAGCGGCGGCGATACTGGGGTTCGCGTAATAATTCCACCTATTTCAATGCATCAAGATCGGGATAACAATCATAGTCATCAACAAAATTTGCAGCAACAGGTTTTCTACTATCTTAACGCAATAAATCTTTATTTTTTAGCAAGACCTGGTATGTAAAGAAGCAAAACAAATTGCTGATAAATTTGCAACTGATTATGCTGCTCGTAAATTCAGCATCAAAGAACCTCATCGTGCTCGAAAGTTATTTGACAAACTCAATGCTTTGGCCAATAAGCTACGCAGTAATAAAGATTATGGTGCTGAACCGCTGATGGATTTAAAAAATTTAGTTCTTGAACAAGATATTACCTCATTTCAATTTAATCAAAGTGGAATTCCTGATGCATTAATCAGTTATTTATGTAATGTCTCAGGCACGTCGCAACTACGTTAGTCTTTGTAAATTAATTTTTATTGCTTATCTTTTTAGGTGGTATTCGTTTAAAGCATTTTGCTTCGGTTTTTATGGGATTGAACGTATGATCTATTTTGCTGTTTTTGATTTAAATTGTGATATTTCAGGAAGATTCGTTGCATGCTGACTCAATTGGTGCTGATAATAAACGCCGTTACCCGTTTGAGTTATTGGTTACAAAACTTACAAACACAATTGGAACTATGGAGCAATTCCAAGGTGGGTTTGACTGATGCATATTCATTTATTAAAGTTAATCTTTAAGTTCGTGTCACCAATCTTTCCGGAATTTTTACAAATGGTAGCGGCTCTTCGTCATTAGCACAATATCAGTCTGCTTTGTTGGGTGGTGGAGCTGGTGGTTCGCTGTTTTCGACAACACTTCGTGGAGCACAGGCTTTACGATTTTTTCAGATGCATCAAATCCGTATAAATCTTCGTCGTCACGTGAGTTAAATCAGGAAGGAATTTATATTTAATCAAAAAATAGTTAGCATTTACTTTATTTTTTATTTAGCCTAAGTGCAAAAATTTGCGTGAATGGCGTCATGGGAGAGGGTCTATTAAAGTTGACCCATTTACATCAATCTCTTCCATTGAAAGGTTACAAATTGTTTTTCAAAATTCGAATAATTATAATTAGATATTTGCTTGAGCGTGGTATTGGCAATATTAATGCACAACAGAGTGGGCAACAACCACAAAGTGATGATGGTGATGACGATTCTGAAATTAGCGAGGAGGATCAGGTATGGATTTTCTGGTAACTTCTCAAAAATATTACTCTAGGATATGAGTTTTTCGTCTGCTCTTTCAAATGAAGGTCGACTTGAACTCTTTATTGGTGAAAATTTGCTTCCAAATGACATCTCCATACTTCAGGTTATTTTTTAAAATGGAAATTATATTCAATAGATTTTAGGCAATTCGTCAATATACACTTCCTCGTGATGATGATACTGTCGAGACGATTCCTTCAAGTATTTGGCTTACAACTCATACAATTTACTATAACAGGTTAATAGTGAACAAATGCTTCCAAACATTTTCTTTTAGCATTCTAAATGAAAGTAATGCTGGTGAGGCTGCAACTGGCGGTACTACTTCAAAAATTACGGGGAATCAATCTAGCGAGCCTTCTCAATCTAAAACTGTTGAAGAGGCGTCAAGTGCGTCTACGCGTACTCGAAATAAGTTGGTCCCACGTGCTGTTGGATCCATTAAAAAGACGGAAAAGCCTGCATCCTCAAGTTCCGCACCTCCAAACCTCAAGGAGTCGCAAGTTTACAAAAGTGATTTTCTTTTATCTGCATATGAGAATATTAAATAATTTATATTTAACAAAAGTTTACGTAATTTTTGAAAATTTACCAATCCATAGATTGTAACCGACCTCCTCGCGAATCGCCTTTGGATCTCTATCTTCGTACTGATCTTCAACCAAAGCTTAATGATCCGTCCACGTCCTGCCTTATTTTGATGAAAATTCTTTATGGGTTAAACTCTTTCTGGTGGGAGCTATTTGAGACTCATTCTAATGGAAAACGAAATCTTCCAATTTCTCATACTCCTTTGATTTTGGCTCGGTATTTATTTTATTCATTGATTTATTATTTTATTTTTTAGATCTTTTTTCAACTCCAAGCTTAACTCTAAAGTTAGTCGTCAACTTTCAGACTTTCTTACCGTTGCCACTCAACAAGTGCCAAAATGGACAATTGACTTAATGAATAATTTGTATTCTTTATATGGAATTCTTTATTTAATTCTTTTTTAGTCCTTTCATCTTCTCTTTCTCCACCCGCCGTTCTTTCTTATTTTGTACTTCCTTTGGACGTGATCGCGCATTAATGTTAGGAATTTTTTAAACTTTTATTATCAGTTATAAAATTAAAACTATCAGGCATCTTGTCAGTGAAGTTAATAATGATGATGGTCACGAGGGTGCTTCACATGATACAAATTCGCGATTAATTCCTCGTTTAGAGCGCCGCAAAGTTTCTATTAAACGGAATGATGTACTTAAGGTTATAATTCTTTATTTTAACATGTGACAAAATATATTTTTAGGATGCGCAGCAAATTCTTACACAAATGAGCACTAGTAAGGCAATGCTCGAAGTTGGATTTGAAGGAGGTTATTTTTTAATTTGATGAACATTTCTAACTAATGTATAATATTTAGAAGTCGGAACTGGATTTGGTCCTACACTTGAATTCTATTCAACTTTAAGCCGTGCGCTGCAAAAGAGTTCACTTGGCCTCTGGGATGGTACAGTGCGCACTTGCCCTGAAGAAGAGAAAGATGGTGAATTAATTCATTTTAAAAAATTACCCATTTTAGGTTCTGGTGATGACGATTATATTTTTGCCGCCAATGGTCTATATCCAAAAATGTTAACGCGCCCATTAAGCTCAAAGCAGAATGAATTACGTTTGAAACGATTTGAGTTTATTGGTCGTCTTCTTGGTCAAGCTCTTATTGACAGTCGAATGGTAATTTTATAAATATTAATTTGTGCGATAATTACTGATTTTTAGTTGGATTTACCACTCTCTCCAGCTTTTTTCAAGTGGTTGATTGGTGAGGAGGAATCTCTCGGGACCGAAGACTTTGAGAAACTTGAGCCGACAATCTTCCGCTCGTTACGTGATATATTGCAGACAGAGGAAGAGAAAGATTTTGAGAGCTTAGATGTGGTCAGTTTGATTTTTTTAATGTTTATATTTTAATTATGCTAATGTCAGTATTTTATCTATCCTGGCGAACCATCTATGGAATTGTGCAAAGGTGGAAAGAATTTGGCTGTCTCAAAAGACAATTGCAAACAATTTTTAGAGGTTTGTGTTAAAGAATTCGGGTAATGAAATAATATTTAGCTTGTTTGTTACTGGCGACTTATTGAGGGTGTTCGTTCTGAAATGGAGGCTGTTCGTCGAGGATTTCGCTTAGTAATTAATAAAGATTCGTTGCGCATTTTCTCTTCAGATGAGATGGAGTTGCTATTTTGTGAGGATTATTTTGCGATAAAACGAATATTTATAATCTTTTTTAGGCGGAAGTGCAGAGAATGATGAAAGGATTTGGACTAACTCTGCACTCCAACATGCTTTACGTCCGGTTAATTTTAAAATTAAATATTTTGACTTGTTTATTTATTTCTATGCTAATTCAGGACCATGGCTACAATTATGATTCGGCACAAATTAAGTGGCTAATTACGATGTTGTGTTCGTATAAACATGATAAGGTAAATTCATTATATAAAATAGAAATGGCTCTCCAGATTTCTAAAAATTTTTTGGTAACTGTAACTAATAAAATAAATTTAGCGCCGACGTTTCTTGCAATTTGTCACTGGCTCTCCAAGGTTGCCTATCGGCGGATTTCGTGGTTTAAATCCTCCACTTACTGTTGTTAAAAAGACAGCTACCTGTGTGAAAAATGAGGAGGAACTACCATCTGCAATGACTTGCTATAATTACTTGAAAGTGAATTATTTTCTAAATTTTTAACTTTAACTTATTTCCAGATTCCGCCATATGAAACTTACGAGACATTTGTGTCAAGATTTGGTTTATTTCTTTTTTTAATTTTTTTAAATTCTTATTTCAGACATCGCTCTTCAACATGTCTATAGCTTCTATCTTACTTAATTTTACTTACTTGAGGACTGAATAAGGGAAAATTTGTAAAAGTAGCGAATTATATTGGATATATTTTTGTCTTTTCGGCGTGACTTTCTCTCCAATAAATAATTCCTCCATCGTGCGATATAAATTTATTTTCTTCTAAATATATAAAGTTTTATTATAAAGCTATAAACGATGGTTTGTTAGAATTGCTTAAAATTATCATTGCTTTGTAATGAATCCTTATTTTAAATTCAATTGTATTCACATACTTTAAAGTGTATAAAGTGAAAACTTTTAATTTGTTTTGAGTTTTAATTGAACATTCGGTCTTAAAACCAAATTCTAAATTTCTTAATTTTTTCTGAACCTTGAATATTTGAATAATTTAGAGTTCAATATGGTTTTTTCAATTTGTTTGAAATCAAAAAATGCTTTCATAAGTATAATTAATGTTTGGGTTTTTAGACAAAATCGTTTAATTACAGGTCATGATGTTGCTTTAAAATTTTGTCGTTACTTTTCTGCGGCTCCCCCAGCAAAAACCTCATATGGCGGGTTGAAAGATGAAGATAGAATCTTTACAAATCTCTATGGAAAGTATGTTTGATGTAAATTGATACAGATAAAATTACTTATTTTAGGCATGATTATCGTTTGAAAGCTGCGATGAGTCGGGTAAATGATAGGTATAATTTAATCGATTTAAATTTTAGGGTGACTGGTACAAAACGAAAGAGATAATTCTCAAAGGTCCGAAATGGATTATAGGTGAAGTCACCACATCTGGCCTTCGTGGGCGTGGTGGGGCTGGATTTCCAAGTGGAATGAAATGGGGATTCATGCTTAAACCTTTTGATGGGCGGCCAAAATATTTAGTAGTGAATGCGGATGAAGGCGAGCCGGGAACGTGCAAGGACAGGCAAGGATATTTGGAATAATTTTCATTAAAGTAATTGACGTAAGCAGAGAGACCGTTTACCTTTTTACTGGGAAAGATAAAATGCATTCGTAACACCGAAGTGACGTCAATGATCTCAATTATTATGCCACCTGAACTTTTTGTTCGCTAACTCATTACGGTTATTTAATTAGAAATTACGAACCGCCTGCACTTTATCTCTCCTACTTATTTCTCTTCTAATAAGCGAACTGTTTTTAACTATATTTGTTAAAATTTATAATTATTTATTTATATTTTTCAGGGAAATAATGGTGCGTAAAAATTGAGAGGAACTATTTTTATTTAAAAATATTTATTGTTAGCGCCATGATCCACACAAACTGATTGAGGGATGTTTGATAGCTGGAGTTGCGATGGGTGCTCGAGCTGCTTATATTTATATTAGAGGAGAATTTTACAATGAATCATGTATTTTACAAGAAGCTATACATGAGGCTTATAAGGTTGTTTATGAAAATACTAAAATGTTTTTAATATTAAATTTTAGGCTGGTTTTATTGGAAAAGACTGTTTTGGGACTGGTTACAACTTTGATATTTTTGTTTGTTTTTATAAGTTATTGAAAATTAAATTTTGGGATGTAGTTTTCTAATATAGGTTCTCTCATAATAATAAATCTTTGTGAGCGGCCGGACGTTGGGCTCCGTTGATTGGGCGAACTCAATCAACGGAGCGCGTCCGCCGATTTAATTAAAAGGAAAAACCTCTCCCTTTAAACGTTTATCAAATTAAATAAATACAAAAAAATGCGCCGGTCGGGGAGAGGACCTGGCCAAAATCAAGACCCAAAACTGAGGCGGTTGGCCTGGGTCCTCTTCTCCCCTTTTATTGAACAAAATTGGGGCGGAGAAATGCTAATTTAATAAGTAATTTCATGACACATAAGTTCACCCCTTATTCAAGCAATATGCATATTGTTTTCTTCAAATTAAAAGGGTCATAAATTGGAATTATGAATTAATAAATCCTGTTAGTAATATACCCTTTAAAAATGATTTTTTTCACAATGATCTAGATATTGATTATTAGTTAGAAATTTATTTTCTTTACAGGTTTATAGAGGAGCTGGAGCCTATATTTGTGGTGAAGAGACGGTTAATTTTTATTTTTGTTATAGGTTTTCTAATAATTTTATATTTTAGGCTTTAATTGAATCGTTGGAAGGAAAGCAGGGAAAGCCTAGACTTAAACCTCCATTTCCTGCAGATATTGGAGTTTTTGGTAATGAATATTTTATTTTATAGTAAATATGTATATATTTTGTTTTTTATTTTTAGGTTGCCCTACAACCGTTACAAATGTATTATTATTTTTAAATTAAAAAGAATAAAATTTATTTTTTATGTTGAAACTATTGCTGTTGCTCCAACAATTTGTCGACGTGGCGGTAATTGGTTTGCGAGTTTTGGAAGAGAAAGGAATCGAGGAACTAAAGTATTTTAATTTAAAAATTATTTTTTAAATTAATATTTTAGCTTTTTTGTATTTCTGGTCATGTAAATGAACCGACAACAGTCGAAGAAGAAATGTCTATTCCTTTGCGCGATCTAATTGAAAGACATGCTGGTGGGGTTATTGGAGGATGGGATAATTTATTGGGTATAATTCCTGGTGGATCTTCTGTTCCTGTTATTCCTAAGAGGTTTAAAATTTAAAAAAAATTTAAAAATTTTATTTTTTAAGCATATGTGATGATGTTCTAATGGATTTTGATGCGCTGATTAAGGTTGAGTCTGGATTGGGAACTGCGGCCGTTATTGTTATGAATAAGCAGGTATTTCTGTTTGAACTCATTTCAATAAAAAATATTACATATTATTAATGCACCCAATGTTATTTAAAAACTGACTGACGTTAACTGATAGGTACAGTCGGACTTAACCTTGTATGTGTTCCCCAAAAATTGGTACACACACTTTAATTGACGTTTTTAAGTCTGATAATAGGATTATAAACGATGCCCCGCTTTACTGCATCTCTTATACGATTCTTCCAGACATAAGGACGTATGCTTAGGTAGTCCGATTCTACTTAATACATATGGATATATCCTTCAATCGTATCTCTCATTTACCTTGATATATTAATAAGTATCTGGGATCATGTTAATCCAATTACCGAACATAGGAAATAAATTTTTTGATCATTGTAATAAAATCATTTTCTTAATTTTTAAAACAAATTTTTCAGTGTGATATTGTAAAATGTATTGCACGTCTAAGTATGTTCTATAAACATGAATCGTGTGGACAGGTGTTTACATTTTTTGGTTACAGCTAATTTTTATTTTAAGTGTACACCTTGTCGTGAAGGTTGCAATTGGCTTAATAAAATAATGTAGGGAAATTAAATAAATAATTTAAATATTAATTATTTCCTATTTAAGGTGGCGTTTTGTGGAAGTAAATTTAATTAAATTTATTTTTAAATAATATAAATAAATTTATTTTTAAAGGGAAAAGCTGACCCAAAAGAAATTGATATGATATGGGAATTAACTAAACAAATTGAAGGGCATACAATTTGTGCTTTGGGTGATGCAGCTGCTTGGCCTGTACAAGTAAGTGATTAAAATTAAGAAAAAATTTATTTTAATTAATTTCAGGGGTTAATTCGGCATTTTAGACCTGGTAAGAATTTATTTCAACTTAATACATATATTAAATTCATAAATTATATTAGAATTGGAACGACGTATGGCAGAATATTCTAAAAAGAATCCAATGATTCGGTTGAGAAAAACGGTAAATAATAATTGTTGAAATATTTAAATCAAGTATTTTAAGGTTGTAACAATGTGAGTAAAATTAGGAATTAATTACCTTTACTTTATAGTAGAATATTGTTAAATATTTTTTTGTATATTATAAAATTGATTGAATTTTAAAAATAAAAATATTTTTGGATTTTCTTATAAAAATATTTTTTAAATCCCCTTTTTTATGTCAAATTATATTTATTTTACCTTCCCTTAACTAAATTAAAAAATAATAACACACCTGCTTTTTCCAATATTTTCTTTAGTCATTTGGATTATACTTTTTGTCCATTTCTTATATGTAATTATCCAATTGCTTTCAATACCAAAAGTTAATTTCTTACTCTTTTTTAGTTTGAAGACAAAGGATAATCTTTTTTCTTTAGTTTTAAAGCTAAATATTTTGAGATTTTGTAAGTAATTAATAAATAAATAGGTAGAAAAGGAAAAATAAGAGGATAGAAAAGCATTGTTAATCATTTTGATTGAAGAAACTAAAGATGCTAGCCGGCGGATATACATAATTAGTATGTGGACATCTGCTTTTTGACATATGTACTTTGAATTAAAATTCGATTTCCAATCAAAACATTTGTTTTCCACATTTGGCTTCTTCCATGTCCTCGTCATAAATTCTCTATTTTTACCTTTTTTAAGTACATATTCTCCAAGAAAAATCCTTTGAGATAATCCAGTTTTTTTCGACTTGTTTTAAACTCCAATTTTTCTGATGGTTTTTAGGATGCCATATTATTAGGTACATAGAGGTATTTATTATCTACATTTAAAATAAAAATCAGACAAAAATGAGGGTTCTTTTTTTTCTAATAAATATTAAATAAATAAATGGCTGTTGCCCGGTAACCATTTCTCAACAAAAATATATACTACTACGCATACATGCACTAAAATAGGACTCTACCAAGACAAAATTTGCGCGAGCACCCAGAAATAACAAAATTCTTATTGCTTGTTTAATCAAAAAATTTAATAAAATTATTTTGATATTTTTACTTATTTTTAGAATATTTTACATTGTAACTAGATTTCCTGTTGATTTAAAATACCTGAAATTATAGGACTAACCTTAATTCGATTACCCCAATAATTACCCCAATAATATTATTACCCAAAATAAAATAACCCCAAAATCTACTCTCCACCAGATAATACTTTATCAACAAAAAATTAAAAAATATTTTGTTTTTCCCCAATAATTTTCTTTTTTGCACTTATAAAATTTAATGTTTTTTTCATTCATCAATTAATTTCTTTTATTTTTTATTGTAATAATTTTGCGCGAGCGAACAATTGGACAGTCTGAATTTTGCAAATAGTTTTTTTATTTGCTGTTTCCGCTTTTTTATATACAAAAGTGATCAATAATTATGATGATTTAAAGATTATATTTTCTTTTAAATTTATTTACTAAACAAACAAAAAAAGTAGTTAAAGATGTTTATGTTAGAGAAGTTTTTGTTAATTGAGGTAGGCTGAGTGAATAATGTTGTACCTCGAACCTCGACTCGTTTTTAGCATTTTTTCTTGATTAGTATGCGCCGACTTTTTGAGAACCCGGCAATTTTGCTTATAACTTTTTATATATATTGAATGTAATGATCAATTTTTGAAAAAGTTATGCCATTAATATGTTGTGAGTAATGTCTCCTTGGAAAATCCTCCCTCAGATATCATGAGCCGAATGAAACATTTTGAGGCAGATTAGCGCCTCGAAGTTTAATCCTGAAATTGGGAACGGCTTCTACTCAATTCCAGTTTTAGCGCTATAAAATTTATGGATTTTCAGAGTTTTTAGTTAGATTTTAAGAACTAAAACCCCTTTAAAATAATTTACAAAATTTCTAAAAAACTTCTTTTTTTTCTTTTAAATTTATTCTCATTCATCCATTCCAAATATCCCTTTCCATTTTTAATTAAAATTATATTTTTAATTTGCCAATTTTTTAGACAAATATGCATTATGTATTTCCTTCCATATTTATTTTAATATAATTTTTATTAGTGTTCTGCTTAAAAGGGTATTTTAATAATAATAATACGGTTGACTTGGTGAGGGAAAAATAAATAAATTTTTGGAAAGTAAATTTTTGTTTACGAAAGAATTCTTGAACATTAAGTTAAATTAACTTTAAAAAATACTTTATTTAATGTATTAATTTTAATAAAATATTATTTAGAATTTTTATCTCCCTCCTCGTTCCTCCAACGTTTTGAGTAAAAAATCCACCACCATTATTGATAATATTTTCAATTATTTTACAAAATAAATTTAAAAATTAATTTTAACCTTTTATTTAATTAATCCATCAATCAATTTAGTTTAAAATTTAAATTTTTTTAAAAAACTTTTAAACTATTTTTTTTCTTTCCCTTCAAACATATGTCATGCCATATTTTTCATAATTTTTCTTTCTAGCTTCATCATTTGTCAATTTTTGTCAGAATTATTAAAAAAACCTTTTTATTCTCCAACATATCCCCCCCCCCTTTCCCCCAAACACTTCATAATGTGTTAAAAATTTAAATCAATAAATAAAAAATAAAACACATGATATGTTTGGAGGGAAAGGAAGGCTTTTTAAAGGCTTCTTTTATTTTTTAAAAAAAATGAAAAAGAAACCCTTTTTTCTTTTCTTTTTTATCACGACTGGCAAATGAAAGGCAAAAAAAAGAAAAAACAAGTTTTGTATATATTAAAAGGCGCAAAAATAAAAAGTTTTTTTTTATTTTGACAAGTTTCTGTCTTTTGCCAAGAAAAATAAGGAAAAGCAATTGGGAGGATAAAAATAAATATATATTTATTTTGAAAAATAAATAAATATTTCTTTTTCCTTTTTTTTAAATTTATTAAAATATTTTTTTTGGTATTTTTATAATTAATTCTTTCTTTTTTGACTTTAATTAAACCAACATTAATTATCATCTAATTATTCGTTTGAAAAAGTATTTAGTGTGTCTTTTAATCCTTTTCTTTTTAGATCACTAAATTAATTTACCTACTTATATCTTTTAGTAAAATTAATAATTAAAAAATATTTTTTATTATTAAAAGTTTATAATAATTTTTTATTTTTTTATAAAATTATTTATTAGAGATTAACTTAAATAAATAAATGAACTTTTCCACTAATTTTTAAGCAAATGTTCAAAATCCTTCTTTCCTTGTTTTAATTTTTTTGCTTTTATTTAATCCCGACAAAAATTAAAAAAAGATTCAAGTTTTTTTAATCGATTCTCTACTTCTTTTCTCTGATTTCCTCTTTTTTTAAACAATAAATTAACTTTAGCCATCAGTGTTTAGTAGATATTTAGTTGGTTGGTGTTTGTTCTTAACTAGAAAAAATTAAATTTTATTTTTTAGTCGTCTCATTTTCCAAGTTTTTTTTGTGAATTTCTTAACTAAAGTAAAATTTAAAATAATAAAGATTTTACTTAAAAATATTTTTTTGAGAATTAATTATTTTTTGAAAAATTAAAAATTATTTTAATTTATTTTTAATATTTTCCCAAATATATTTAATTTAAAAGAGAGGGAAATTTTGTGAAGAGAAATTAAATTTTTAATTTAAATATTAAATTAAATAATAAATAAAAAATATAAAGTTTGGATAGCCAAGAACCAAAAATTTATTTTAGTAAAAAGTAGGTAGGAGAAGGGATCTAGTTTTCTTTCCACGCTTAATTTTTTTGGCTCACAATCATTCAAGATAATTTATTATTTTTATTTTTGTCTTTAATATAAAAACTTTTTTGATTTTTAATTAGAAATATTTAAATTTTTGGAGATTTGGAAATAAAAGAGAGAGGAGTTAATATTCAAATAAATATATTTTTGTTTCTAAAATAATTTTTAAAATAAATAAAAATAATTTAAATAAAATATAAAAATTAAAAAAATTCTATTCCGTTTTTAATTTTAAGAAAAGAAATTTTATTTTAATATTTTGAAAATTGTTTCTTTTACTTGAAATAGAAATATTTTTCAAATAAAAAAAAAGAAATTATTATTTTAATTCCTTTTATGAATTTATTTCCTTTTTTGAATTTTAGACTAAAAAAAATTTTAAAAACTGTTCTTTTTAAATATTTTAAAAATAACTTTAAATTATAATTGAAAAATTATTTTGGGAACTTAAATGTCCGAATAATTTAAAAAAAAATTTCTTAATAGGTGGATTTTTAAAACAGAAACAGGGCGGATTTGTTCATATGTTTTTTTGGCCATTACAACTTTTTTAAACGAATCATTAAAATTAAAAAATTAATATTTTTCTCTAATATTTATAATTAATTAATTTTCCCTTTCCTAACACTAATCCTTTCATTGCAAACGGATGTTTATGTGTTTTGAAGGTAAATCCTTCCTTTAGGTCCTATTTAGTAATTTTCTTTATAATATTTTTCTTAGCCATTAAATTAATTTAATTTAATTTCTATTATTTTTTAGAATTTACTTTAAAATAATTATATTTACTTCCGTCCAAATTCAAAATTTATTTCAAGGAATTTGTGGTTTTGACTACTGCTACTACAAAATAATTATATATTGCCTTTTTTATTAAAAATATTTTTAAAGAATAAGTATTTATTTAAACAACAATATAATTTATATGTAAGGATTAAAATTATTTTAGTAAAATCTATATAAATTTATTTTTTAAAAATAAATTATTTCTAAATTCTGCCGTAAAAATAAATGTTTTATTCAAGATTTGTAACTAAACAAGTACCGAATTCTTTGAATATTCTCTTTTTTAGCATGCAGTGGAAAATGTTGAGAATTTTTGATTTTATAGTTACAAAATCCTTTGCTTTTTTTTAAAATAATTTTAAGAAAAAATTAACGTTAAAAATTTGCTTTAATTAAATGACTGTAATATATTTTTAAAATTAATTTTTTAAGAAAAATTAATGACAAGCTCTAGCGAATGTGAAATTCTTCAACCTTCACAAATAATTCGAGAACGTTGGAAAATTGTAAATAAATAAATTTAGTGGAATCCTCCCGGCAATACTACATCTTTCCCCAATCACAAACCATTTTCTTTCCTACTTTCACTTCAACAATTCGGCCCAGAGAGTGTCGTATTGCGGGATTCAATTGTTCACTTGAAATTTAAAAAAATAAATTTAAGAAAAATAAAATTGGTGGTGGAGGTTTTGGAGAAATTTATGAAGCTGTTGATTTACAAAACCATAATGAAAGAGTTGCTATTAAAGTAGAATCAAGCAAAGTAAGTTATAAAAATAAATAGAAAATAAAAATAAATTTATGGCAAATACATAAATAAATTTTTATTAAATTTTTAGGCAACAAAGCAAGTGCTTAAAATGGAGGTAGCTGTACTTCGAAGACTTCAAGGCAAGTTTATAATCGACATCAGTGCTGGGTATTGCTCCGGGAGCTAGCTCAGGTGGAGCCTGAGCCAAGAATTAAATAACTCTAGAGCCGGGTTCAAGGTTTGAAAATGGTCGAAAGTCAACAAATGCCTAATACCTAGCACTGATAGGCACAATTTTGTTTTAAAGATATTTTCGACATTTACTTGTTAATATTTGTTCTCATTCCATGAATTCTTGAATCCACTTATTATTCATCTAAATATTCGTACCCCACAATGATTATAACCCTCTCTAACATTAATACATAATTTTAAAAGCAAAAATTTATTTAAGGGAAGAAACATGCATGTAAATTTTATGGTTGTGGAAGAAACGAAAAATTTAATTATTTGGTTATGGGATTACAAGACAAAAATTTGGCTGATTTAAGAAGGTTGTCTTTAAAAAATAAATATTATTTAAATTAAAACAGAGAATCCCCAACTCAACGTTTTTCTTGCTCAACAGCTTTACGTGTTGCTCAACATATTTTACAAGCAATTTGTGAAATACATTCAATTGGGTTTTTACATAGTAAGGGAAGGGAAAGAGAAGGGAGAGAGGAAAGAGAGGAAATTATAATTATTTAGGAGATATTAAACCTTCAAATTTTGCTGTTGGAAGGACTTTATCTACTCAACATAATATTTATATGTTAGATTTTGGATTAGCTAGACTTTATTTAAATGCAAAAGGAGAAGTACGGACACCAAGTAAATAAATAGAAAATAATTAATTTTTGGAATTCAATTTTTATTTAAAGGATCGGCTGCTGGGTTTCGAGGAACTGTTAGATATGCAGCTATTTCTGCTCATAAAAATAAGGTGTCTTTTTCTTATTAAAACTTTTTTTAAATAAATCCTAGTTTTACGAGATTTAATCAAAATAATTTTGATTTGTAATAAGATTTTGGAAAATACAAGTCTTAAGTATCTAAATATTTTAATACCGTATATACTGTATTAATTGCCCTCCCTCAAATGATTACCCCACCTCTATTATTTACCTTTTCCATCGAGAGACCAAAACAATAATTACCCAGGGTAATTAATAGTATATATGGGCCCGACAGAAATTCTATTGAAGATAATATTTTTAAAGAATTTTTAATATTATTTTATAGGAAATGGGTCGTCAAGACGATTTATGGTCTCTTTTCTATATGCTTATTGAATTTTTGAATGGCTCATTGCCTTGGAGAAGAATAAAGGTGTATTTATTGCTTAATTGTTTAGTAATTTTTAAATAAAAATTAGGATAAAGATGAAGTTGGGAGAATGAAAGAAGAAGCGGATATTCGGGAATTACTTGATGGAAAGTTTGTTAAAAATAAATTTTTGTTTTTTAAGAGAAAAATTATTTTAATAGTCCATCAGAATTACATCATTTTGCTGAACATTTGAGTGGATTAACCTATGGAGATTTGCCTGATTATGAGCTTTTGGAGGATTGTTTATGTGTTGCAATGAAAAGATTAGGAATTGGGGCAAATGATCCTTTTGGTAAAAAAATATAATAAAACTCAAAACTAATTTTAAATACGTTCTTGAGGTTGAAAAAATGAGGGGTACCTTTCTAGGGGTACCTTTTTTCTAATGAGGGGGTACCTATCTAATATTGAGGGTATCGTTTAGGCAGTTCTCCCTCCTATGTAGTAGTTAACCAAATCTTAGAAGATTTATCTTAAACTATATTTAATTTTGGAGATTAAAAATATTTATTTTCAATTGTTAAAAATTCAATCAAATTTTAGATTGGGAAAATGGTTATGCTTTTGTTTCTGATCCAAATAGTAGTAAAGCTTTACCCTGTTCTTCTTCTGCAATTCAAGGAGATGCTCATCATAATAAACAAAAATCTAGTCAAATTGGGCGTTCATATACAACAGCTTTTCGAGAAAATTGTCCAGATGTTAACACAACAACAAATGCTGGAGGAAATAAAAATAAAGGGTTATTGGATACACAGGCGCCGATAACTGGAGATGAAGATGGGGATGAGGAACAACAAACTGGGAATTATATACAGGCACATTTAGCTTCAAATGCTTCTGGACAAATTGGAGGGGGAGAACATTCTTATGGAGATGATGGGGGAGGAAATGGAGGAGGAGGGATTAATAATAATAATAAAGAATTAAAACCAAAATATAAGAGACAAGAATTTTTAAGGTTTAAATAAATTAATTTAAATTAAATTAAATTAATTTTTTTAGACCAAAAATTAATCAAAATCTTGTTAAAATGAATCAAAAAAATTTGGGAAAATCTATTGATGCAGTTAATGAACGATTTATGAAAGTTCAAAGCAATTCACCTGTATTTCAACTAAATTAAAAAAATAATTTTCTCTTAATTTTTTAAGGTCCCAATAGGCAAAAGATATCAAAATGGAAGTAAAATATCGGCAACAACAATTAACGGACCTGCACCCCTTTCTTCAATGTCTAATGTTTCTAGAAGTGATGAAAATAAATTAATATTATTACCGGAAAGAAGGGCAGAAAGTATGCAGCCACAAACATTAAATGTTGGGGGAAATTGTGAGAGAGAATTGTCTTGTTATTTGTTAATGTCCTTATATTTTTTAAGCTGGCATTTCTTCCCCTGAAAAACCTCCAACAATAACAAGAGATATGTATACATCATTACAGAGAATCCCAACTCCATCAGCCCCAGTATCTAAAGCAGGAACACCAACAACTGATCAACACCAACAAATAAATAATCCATCTAAATCAACATCTACACCTACTTTACGTCAGAGAAATGGTTCTTTTGAAGCTGGAATAAATAATTATAGAAAAGGAGGTGAATAAGATATTTATTTTGATTTATTTTCGCTTAATATATTGTTACTAGGGTAGGCGTTTCCTGGGGATATCTTCGTATATCCGGCATTTTTTAATTAAAAATCGGTATTTGAATATCTTCTCAGATTCTTCCAATATTTTCTACTATTCCTCCCTTAATTCACAGAAATATAAAAAATATTTTTAATTATTTAAAGAAAATGGAAATAGTCGTGAACGTTTAAATAAATATGCGGCAGCAGGCTCCCCAGCAATTTATCAACAACAAGACGAACATTTGAGACAAAAACAGAAAAAAATAGAAAAATCAGCCCAAAGACAATTATCTCCTCAAAAATATTCTGTTAATAAAGCAATGATTAATTCTGTTGTTGTTGGGGATGGAAAGGAACAAAGAAGGGAAAGAAGAAGTAGTAGGGATGAATTAATTGGGAGTGGTGTTAATTTAATATCTCATTTCAAAAATTTGGTTAATGTAAGTTGTTAATTAATTTGGAATAATTCTACTTTCGATTTGAAGTCTAAATAATTTAAAAAAAATATTTTTTATTTATTAACAAATGGGGTAATTACCCCATTTGTAATACCCCATTTAATTACCCCATAAATAGGAATAGGGTTGTCGGTTCTGGACCGAACCATATCGAAGAACCGAGGATTTTTCGGTTCGGTTCTTCGGTTCGGTTTCGGATATCCGAGGAATTTTCAGGAACCGACAACCCTATATAGGAATAATGACAGGCTCTTTTTTTAAAGCCTATTATTATAATTTACATAGGAAAGTCATTTCCTTCTGACAATTTTTTTTTGCAAAACAGGGATATTGATGAATGTATTACCAAAAATATTTTTAAATTATTAAAATAATTTATTAAAATTTTCAGAGTTTTAATTCGTTGAATATAGCCAATCGTTCTGGGAGTGGTGGCCGTTCAAAATCTTTATCTTCTCGTGGTTTTGGCGGAGATAAACATAAATTAAGCAATCCAACACCTACACCCCCAACAATATTGAAACCTTCAGATAGTCGAAGTAGTCGAAAAGGAAGTTCAAAACTTAGTGCTCCAAGTAGTAAAGGAAATAATGAAGATACTTCTGCTACTTCTGGTTATTATTTAAATTTTAAAAATTGTGGTTTAAAGAATGGCATAAACAGACAGATAAATTAAAAAATAAAAATTAATTTTTTTAAGGTATTGGAAGTGCATCCCCAACAATTAGACATAAATCACGTGAAAGAATAACAACTACAACAAAAAATAATTTAAAGGATAATAATCAAAGAGAATATCATCAACAACAACAACAACAAAAACACAAAAGTGTGGACAGTCGAAGATCCTTAAATGAATTAAATAATAATTCAAATAACCAAACAATTTTATTAGAACAATATACAAAAGAACTTTTAAAAGTTGGACAACAACAAAGAAGAGAAGGACAACAACAGAGACAGCAACAACAACAATTTTTATTAAAACATAATGGAAGATATTTGGGAAATCTTTAAATAATAAATAGAGGTATTTAGAGATTAAATATTTAATAAAATATTTTTAATTTTCAGTTGTTAATCATTCTCCATTGCGTAAAATACATAGAAGCATTTTTACAATTTAAAGCTCACAATTACATAAGTTAAAAAAATCTCTTGATATTTAAAAAAGCTCACAATTTGCAATTTTTTAAATTTCATTTTTATGTAATATTATTTTGTTCATTTTAGTTCCCTATTTTCTTTTTACTTAATAAAAAAATATATTTATCAGGAAAATTTTTTTTTTCAGAAAATTCAATTTTTCTTTAGGGTTTTAGGTTCCGTGTCATTTCTTATGTCCGAGATCTAAGGCCAATGGGTCTGAAATAATCTGTTTCCTTATTTAAATTCTAGATATTTATGGTTGATTTTCTGAAATTCCAGAAAAAATTACCTATTCAAAATTTACATGTTTAATGGAATAAAATGTTTTTTTTTCATGTAGAATTCAGAAAATGCAATTTTAGTTTAAATTCAAGAACCGTAGCTTAGCCATAAAGCAGGATTCAATATAAAATCACAACTTGTTAATTTTAGTTTTCTTTTATGTTCTATAAAGTCTGCAAGTTTTATCCTTTATTCACACTTGGCAGAAGATTAAATTAGAGGCATAAAATCAACAATCTTTTCCCGTTTTTACCGTGCTTAGCCATTGATTTACAAAATTTAAATCAATGCCCAGAGTACACCGCGAGGAGGTACACAGTTGTAAACGGGCAAACCCTGTACTCCACCACTCCCGTAGGACTAGGTTGCCCAAGCCCGAAGCAGGCAGTGGCTAGCGACCTACTCAACCAAGACGACAATTGCAACAATTGTAGCAATGGTTGTAAGAAGCGGGTTAGGTTCAACTAGGTTGCCCAAGCCCGAAGCAGGCAGTGGCTAGTTTAGCCTAACCTAGCCGGGTAATAGCTAGGTTGCCCAAGCCCTGAGCAGGCAGTGGCTAACAATACCCAGCCCTTTGGTTAAGGAAACACCGTCTGCACAATGTGTCGACTAATGAATACAACTTAACACAAAGGGGTCACGTAGCGCAATAGTTAACGTAGACATAGCTAGGTTGACCGAGCCCGGAGCAGCCAGTGGCTAGCTAGAACTACGCAACTACTGCTATTAAATTAGGTTGCCCATGCCCGGAGCAGGCAGTGGCTAACTTAACCGTCTGACCGACTAAGGTGACTTTAGTGGGCGCTTTTATACTAACACTGTCAGTGGAATTGGGACACGCCCATATTGTCGCGGGCCACTTTGTCGCGACCACTTTGTCGCAGTCCCACTTTGTCGCAGGCTTTCCTTTGATTTTTATTTTAAAATTGGCCTAAATTTTGCTCGCCACGTGCCGTACTTCATCCCACGGCTACAACGATGGGAAATCTGAAAAGTTTTTTTTGTTTTTTAAGTTTTTATTTTTTTTTTAAATTTAATTGATTTCCATCTGTTTCTGACTGCCATTTTCGAGTTTGCAGTTTCCGAAGGAACGAAGGTGTTGAAAAACCAAACCAGATTACTCTAGAAAACCCTGTTGTGCCCAGAAGGCCCTTTTCCTACCCTCCATAGCAGCATAAAATTTTTTTAACTAAAAAACCTTTGCGACAAAGTGGTCGCGACAATGTGGCCTGCGACAAAGTGGGCCGTACCCAGTGGCGAAATGTTTGGAATTGGCGAATGTTGGCGAAATGTTTGACTCTACTATCTCTCGCTGTTTTCTTTCGATACTTTTATTTGTTGATTTTAATTATCGGATTTGTTGATTTATTTTTAACTTTTTTCATATAAATTTTAGAAAGTGTAATCAAAATGACTGAGCAAACAGAACGAGCTTTCCAGAAACAACCTACTGTTTTTCTTAACGACAAATTTCGGACGCAAGGAATTGGCAAAAAGCCGAAAAATAAGGATCGTTATTGGAAGAATGTTGGGTTAGGATTTAAAACTCCACGCGAGGTTTTGTATTTTTTTCTTGTCTAACAAATAATTTTTAAAACTTTTTAAAGGCTATTGAAGGCAATTATATTGACAAAAAGTGTCCTTTCACTGGAAATGTTTCAATTCGTGGCCGTATTTTGACTGGTGTTGTTATCAAGAACAAAATGCAGCGCACGATTGTCATTCGGCGTGATTATTTGCACTTTGTTCCGAAATATCGTCGCTACGAGAAACGTCACAAAAACATGTCCGTTCACTGTTCGCCATGTTTCCGGTTTGTTTAAATTATTATTTCCCTTTTGTTTGCCATAAGACTATTGAATAATTATGGACAGCTGGGCATCTAAAAATTTTCGAGCATACTCGTTATTGAAAAGCATTTTTCTACTACCGCAAGCCAATGGTTAGTTAGAAGAGTAGGAAACTTTAAAGATTCTTTTACATGGGTACACCCCAACGTACCGCAGAGCTATAACTTCGTTAAAAAGGAACGAATCCTGGACGCCCTGATATGGTTCGATTCAGCTCGTTGAGTTGCATTGAGCCATATCAAATGCTGCTCCCTTTTTACATTTCTCTTTTAGTGATATCTCTATTGGTGATATTGTCACGATCGGTGAATGCAGGCCTTTGAGTAAAACCGTTCGTTTTAATGTTTTGAAGGTGATCAAAGTCTCAGGAACGAAGAAAGCCTTTGATAAGTTTTAAAAAGGAAAAGTTCAATAATATTATGTTTGTGGATGTTTGTTGTTATTTGCCCGAGGCACTTGAATAAAGCTGTTGATTTTTTGTGTTGTTAATAAAGGGGTTGATCGGTGTTTAAGAGAGGGGGGGGGTTTTGAGCAAAATTTTGTTTTAATTTAACGCAGGAAGTGCTGTCTGTCTCAAGACTCTAACGTCAGTGATTGGTAGAGAGCGATCTGGATCCAACCTTAATTTTTCCTGGATCCAGAGTCCAGATTAAGGCATTTTTCAGCGTTCCCTGATTTTTCCTTGACTCAAGGTCAAGAATCTGATCAATGTACAGTCAAGGTTTTTTGAAAATCTCGCTCTCTAGTGATTGGATCTTTCGGGAATTGTTTTTCAAGTAAAAATACATCCAAAGAGTTTTTCCCTCGGATCATACCACCTTCTCATTTTTCTCATTTTAACTTATTAACAGATTTAAGAAACACTTCGAATTAGTTTTACTTTTAGTTACAACAATAACACCAAATTTTATTTCAAGCAATACTCGTTTATCTTTTTTATATCGCTAATTGTCTATATACGTGCTTCTTGTATTCTTCAAGTCCTCCGTCCAATTGAGTAATCTAACAAATTTTAGAAATTCAATAATAAAATAAAAATATTCTCTAACCGTTTTATCTTTACACACCAACAATTCTTTACATACCAATTCAATTAAACGTTCATCGTGGGAAACAAGCACTACCCCACCCTAAAAAGGAGTAAGTAAATTGTGAAACATTCTTAAATACCGCAAATTTATTTAAAGCTTTTCCAAGTGCATCGACAGTTTCTACGTCCAAATGGTTTGTTGGTTCGTCCATAACCAAATAATTTGGCCTTAAAAATTAAAATAATATAAAAATATTAGAAAGTAATACCCACTTTTGTAACGCTAAACATGTAAACGCAAGTCGTGATTTTTGTCCTCCTTAAAATAAAGTTAATTGTAAGTATATTCAGAAAGTTATAAACCAGAAAGTGTTGCAATTGGTTGGAATGCAATATCACCACTTAAGCCAAATCTCCCCATCGCTGCGCGATATTCCTCCTTTAATTTTTTAAAATAAATATTTTCTAAATTATTAACCTCGTTTAATCCTGGAAATCTCTGTGCAAGTAATTCCAAAGGAGTATCGTCCATTTCAAGTTGATCAACATGGTGTTGAGTAAAGTAACCAATTCGTAAACGACGATTTGCATTCCTTACACCACTTGTTGGGTTTAGTTCACCGAGTAGTAATTTCAATAATGTTGTCTTTCCAGCACCATTTTCACCGACAATGCAAATACGTGAATCACAGCGCGAGCCCATACAGACTTTCTAAATAAAAAAATGAAAACATAAATCCAAATAGAAAACCTGAAAGATGTAAGGCGAATCTTTTGAATACCTAAATGCCATTTCATCTAATTGAAGCACCGGGTTACCCAATTTTTCGCATTCTGGAAATTGAAATGTAACATTTGACTCAAACTCGACAGCGTGAATAACGGGCCTTAAATTTATTTTTACTTTATAGTATTTTCTTTTATTTTACAATTTTTCAAGCATTTTTATTCTTGATTGAACCATTGAAGCTCTTTTTGCATTATAACGGAATTTATCGATAAATTCTTGAACATGTTGTCGATGCTGTTGTTGTGCTTCATAATCTCTTTGTTGCTGTGTTAACTTCTCTTTCATTGCCTAAAAAATATTTAAGATATAAATACAAATTTAGCAACCTTTTCAAAATTGTCATAATTCCCTTTATAAGCATCCAATCTTTTAGAATGCAAATGTATCATATCAGTACAAACAGTGTTGAGAAATTTTCTGTCGTGAGAAACCGTTAAGATTGTACCAGTCCATTCCTTAAAATTATAAAAATGTTAATTGATTAAAGATAAACTTGTAAGTGATTTTCAAGCCAGTAAACAGCGCGCATGTCCAACTAAAATATTTTTGAATTTATTATTAATATAAGGTCAAAAATTTTGTTGTTAAAAGATATTGGAGTGATAAACAAACTTTACCATGTTTGTCGGTTCATCCAGTAATAACAAATCTGGTCTAATAAACAATGCTCTTGCTAACGCTACACGCATTCGCCAACCACCAGAAAATTCTCTAAAAAATATTTAAACATTTATGTGATTCTTTCCAAACTTTGTAGGCTTCTTTTGTTCATCTGGTTTAAACCCAAGTCCATACAATATTGTTGCAGCTCTAGCTGGAGCTTTATCTAATTGAAGGGCTTGCTGCTCTGCATAAACTGCATCCAAACGGGCGGAAAGTTCTGTGCGCAGTTCATCAGAAGTTTCAGAACTTTTTTTTAAAATAATGAGAAAAATTAAATAAATTTATTTTATAAAATATACCAACCAATTTATCCGTTCCTGAAGTTCACGCTCTTCATTTAGTAATTTCTCACGTTTTGTGTCAGATGCAAGTACAGCATCAATTACTAGAGTATTGTCCCCTTCGACCTCTTGTTCCACACTCAGAAAAGTTATGTTTGAAGGGATGATGAGTTGTTTGCTAAAAATATTGAGATTTTCAAAGATAGGACAATAATGGAGTAAGAAGATTCGGATCGAGTTTGTCTCAAGTCATAAATAGACATAAGGATCAAAAAACGATAGGAAAGGACGATAGGAAACTCAAACGAAAATAAAAATATCTAATGGATTAACATTTAAATCAAAACGTAAACCTCGAAATCATTTTTAATAAAGTAGTTTTTCCAATTCCATTTCGCCCAACAAGTCCATATCTACGTCCATAAACGATCGAAAGTTCTGCGCTAGAAAGAAGTTGTTTGCTACCAAATGAGATATCCACATTTTCAAGCTTGAAATCCAATCCACCCATCTGAAATATAAAAAAATTTTGACGATTAAATATATCTCAAAAAAACTAGTACAGGAACCCAGTTTTGAAAATGAATGAGAATAAAATAAAAATATAATCGTTATGGGAAATAAAAAATTTTTTACGTCAATCCTAAAAAATTTGAATAAGAAAGATTAAGAATCCCGGTCAGCAACGCCACTTTTTCATCTTTTATTATAATTAAAAATCTAACATCAGATTTGGCAGCTCTATTCAATGTTTGACTGGCAGTTGCTAGAATTTTCGGCCTCTGTTGTTTCTTTTGTTGCGGGGCATCATTCTTCTTTTCTTCATTTCCTTTTGCCAACCCTTTTCTTTTATCAGCTTGAAGAGGAACATCATTGGCAGTAACTTTCCACAAATCATCCATTAATTTGTAAGTTTCACTTTGAAGGCTCATATCAACAGTTTTTTCTAATTTTCTCGCTTCCAATGCTCTAACTATTGGCTTATTATCTTTCCTAGAAAATTAAATTAAAAAAATATTTTCAATAAAAATAACCCTTCATGTAAAATAACAAGTAAATTCAAGCAAACTTTCTGCAGTTCAGCTTCACTCATTTCAGTTAAAAATCCCTGAATATGTTCCCCAACAGCTTCACACATGTCATCAACAGTGGCAATGTCATCTTCATTCTCTTTTAACAAATCTAAAATTTGAAAAATTTTATATTAAATTTAGGAAAATAAACCTGTGAGGTATTCACGAATTTCTGCTGGAATTTCTGGCAGTTGTTGATCCAAATATGAAGAAATATTTACTTTAAGAACCATTGCCGCCCTTCTATATTATCAATGAGATTTAAATATTTAAAAAGTATTCAAATAATCAAAAGAAATTTAACAAGTAAAATTAAATACCAATTCAAATTTTACATTTATATAAGGAAAAATGACATAGCAAAATTTAACAATAATTCTTTGGTTTACAGAAAAAATAAACAAAAATTGAAAGAGTAACCTATAACTAATTTATCAATATGTTTAAAAAAAATTTTGAAGAAAAATAAATCAAAAGTATTTTTATTTAAAAACAAAATATATTCTAATTACAAATTAAAGGATGAACTGGAGAGCAAATAAATATTTTTAACACAAAAAGAAAAAAAATATCTAAAAATTACCATTCAATATATTTAAATGATTTGAAGTTTAATTTTCATCAAATAGTTTGCCGCCGATTTACTTCTTCCCATTCATGCAAATATTCTTTTTTAGATTTAAGGACATCTCGAATTCGCGTTAAAATTCTTCCAAGGACATTTTTACCTGGCCAATGTGTTTTATCACGGATAGATGATGAATCGACATCCTGGAATAATTAAAAAAATATTGACTTTTTAAAGTGTAAAAATTTTCGAAAAAAATCTCAAGTAGGACTATGTATGGCTAAAAAACTCCCCAAATTTTTTGTATTTTCAGCAGGCCCGTAACCAGGGGGGGGGGGTGAGGGGGGGAATTCCCCCCCCCCCGAAATGGGAAAAAGGAAAAAATTTGGGGAAGGGCTGGGGCAAAATAAGTGAATTTTTTGGCCTACGGCCTCTGAAATTTAAAAAATTTTCGCCTGCGGCGCTAAAAAAGGACGAAATCTGGCTTCTTGAGGTCCAAAATTCAAAAAATTTTCGCCTGCGGCGCTGAAAATAAAAATTTTTGGCGCCTTCGGCGCCAAAAATTTGACGCAAAAAATTTTCCCCCCCCCGAAAAAAAATCCTAGTTACGGGCCTGATTTTCAGACAGCCAAAAATTTTATATAAATCATTAAAATTATTAAAAAAACTAACAACTCCTGCTCCCCAATAAAGATCTTGTGAAGTTGCTTCAACTAAAAGAGTGTCGCCAGTCTCAAAAAGTAATCTTCTCAAATCCACATTTTGTTTATATTTTTCCATATTGCAAATAGTCATTACCTAAAAATAAATTAAAAGAAAAAGAAAGTTTCAAAACAAACTAGAATCGATATATTTCTCCACTTTTCAGTATTAAATAGTCGAATATATGAACCAACACGTTTCATGTCTCGAGCTTCAGTCATTTCCATTATTTGATTAGCACTTTCTGTATCGCCAAAAACAACAGCTTTGTAATACCTTTAAAAAAGAATTTTTTAAAATAAATTTTAAACAAGACTATTTACATATAAAATTGTTCTGTACAGCAAAAACGCAAATCTAAAGAAATGAAAAATTAATTAAAGAATTAAAAATCTTAAACAAACCATCAACGTAAAAATAACATTTAAAATGATTGCTAAATGCATATGCCTTAGTAAAGAATGGAGAGATAAACCTGAAAAAAGAAAAAATGAAAAGATGAAGTCAATACACATTAGAGGTCGGCAAAATCGTGCTTGCGGGATCCAACATGCGGGGCTTTTTCTAAGAACTTTTGCGGGACAGAGAAAATCCCGCGCGGAATCCTGAGCCGCGCCGACCTCTAATACACATTTTGAGATAAATATAATTAATAAACTATTCACCCATCCTAAGCATAATGTTAAATAAAAATTCCCTAGAATCAATAATTCAGGTATGGTTTAGAAAATCTATTAATTAAAATGCAAAATAAATTAAAATAAATACTCTGAACTGTTGAGCACTCTCTGTACTCTAGGTGTTTTTGTTGGAATAGAATGTGGAGGAAGAGGCTCTCTTGGCTTTTGAGGAGGCGTTTTCTTTACTGGTTTAACAACAAAACGTTCAATAATTTTAGCATCATCTGCTAATGGAGCAGTCACCCTTGGATGTGCTTTTTTGCCATTGTTTATTTTTTGATTGTTTTTGGCCTTTATCCTAAAAAATAAATTTTCCTTTGATAAAAAAAATCAAAAAATACAATGAATTAGTAAACATTTTCTTCATTTTTGGTGTTGTTGGTTGGACGGAATTTTGTGGAATAGGCTCTTCTGGCTTTTTAGGAGAGGATTTTCTTGCTTTTTGCTCAGAAGGTGTAGTAGCTTGAGGAGTAACAGATGACTTTTTAGGTGTTTTTGTTGTTGACTCAGCACAGCCTGTTGACTCCGCAATACTTTCATTCGTTTTTGGAGGAATTACCTTTGGACGGAGTTTCTTCTGTCTGCTACGAGAATTTCGAATTGTTATATTGGCAACATCTTTTTCTGTTTCTTCATCCTTTTCAACGACTTTTGCTTCTGGCACACATTGCTCAGAAGGTGTAGTAGCTTGAGAAGTAGCGGGTGACGATGGTGATTTTGGAGAAATTTGACCATTATCAACATTTCCGCTCGCTGGAACCTTTTTCTCCCATTGTAAATGGTTAAAAATAATTTGAAGTGCAGCTTTGGGTTTGCGTTTACTTCGATCAGACATTGAAACTTCAAATGAACAGATATTTTAAATAAAATCCAAAAACGATTTAACAATTACGCGAAAGATAATTCGCGACAAAAGAGAAATTAATTAATGAGTAGGGACGATTCAGTGTCTCCATTAATAAAAAATATAAAACTATTTACTGTATTTACTCATTTTATCATAAACTTTATCATAAACAGTGATGTAGTATAAAAGGATTATAATTTAGCCAGCTTAAGGCTAGGAACTTTTAGTCATCAACTCACACTGTGGAGGAGCTGTCCTTTGAATTCGTCCAAGTCTGTCTGTCCATGACGTCGACAACTATTAATTTGCAGTTAGTTCGACGAATTGCCTCTTGGATTCTCAAATACAATCATCTGAATGGAATTACGGATATTGAGATTGCTGAACTAATAGACAATTGCAAGTCCATTATTGAGCAGGTTAGTTAATTATTCAAAGCTACATGCATTCATGTCTATTAATTTTAGGAGCCATCATTCATTCGCGTTAAAGCACCAGTAATTATCTTCAGCGATATTCATGGGAATTTCGTTGATCTGCTCGAGTGAGTTTGAGTCAAAATTTAAAGTCAGATCCTAACATTTTTTAGATTCTTCCGTCTTCTTGTTCCTGATTTGCTTTCACTTGGAGATCCAAAGGTCAAGTGCACTCTACCGAATCTACTTTTTCTTGGCGATTATGTAGATGTTAGTTTTTAGAAAGATTTGATTTAATATTCAAATTATTTTTTAGCGCGGAGCACAAAGTCTTGAAGTTATCACTTTTCTCGTTTGCCTAAAGACGCTTTTTCCAAAGCGCATTACTCTACTACATGGAAACCACGAGTCTGCAGACATCAACAAACGGTTAACAAATAAATAAATGCTTATCTAATTATTAGTTTTAAGATGTAGGAACAGCTTCTATAACGATGTTGTAAACAAACGGAATGGAAATTTCGACATTTGGGCGGTAAATTATTTATAATTGGGGTATTTTGGTAAATGTTAAATGGATCTTTTATGAAATAAGACATGAGATTTATTTGCATATTTCTAGAGTGTACCTATTTAAAAATATTTTTGCTTCCAAAACTAGTGGTTTGGTTTTAAGCGACTTAAGTTCGAGAATTTCTTTAAAGGAAAAGCTTCTTTCTCCCCTAATTGTGACTTGTTACATTAATTTTACCAGTATTTTGTTTTAATTTTTTAGCGCTTCAACAAACTTTTCAAGCACTTATCTCTATGTGCATTAGTGAATGGTTGTGTTCTTTGTATGGTAATTTTTATCATCAACATATTTTTGTAATAAAATATTTTTAATTAAGCATGGCGGTCTTCCAAGAATTAAATATTGGAATGAATTGGCACAAGTTAAGGTAGTATAAGTAAATGAAAAGCCGTTAAATACATATTTTATTTTAATTAGAAGCCAAAAAAGGTCAGCGATTGCTACAATGATTACGACGACATCAATACTGTTGTAAATGTTAGTTGATTAAAAAAATATTTGAGTTGAATGAAATTTTATTTTTTTAAAGGACTTACTTTGGGCAGACCCTACAAATAATTTGGATCCAAATAATGGTGTAAATAGTTGGTTCAACGATGTAAGTAAAATTAAAGTCTTTTCTTAGATTTCTTAATATTTCCATTTTCAGGACAGGCAAACTTCCATCAAATATAATGACTTGTACATTCGTGAGTTCATGAACCGCTTCCCGCATATAAGTAAATTAACCTTTACTATTTTCTTATTTTTGTTTAAAATTTTTTCTGATATTTCCGATACTTAATTCTATTTTTAATATTTTTTCTTTTAAAGAGGGAGTTGTCCGCGGTCATGAACATGTCAATTCTGGGTATAAACTGAACGCTGATCGAACTATGTGTACTCTATTTACTGCGCCTAGATATGATAGAAGGACTGACAGTGGTTGTGTGATGAAAGTAAGTTAATTAGGCACGAAATTGCCACAAATAAATTATTATTTTTAGATTTCGTCGGATCTTAAGGTTAGCTTCATCAGATTGACACCACCTGATCCGCCAAATTCATCTGCGTTGGAAGATCCGCCAACGCCGCGAAGTTTGTTTTATTTAATGAAATTAAATAATGTCATAAATTTCTCCAATCTACCCAAAAATTGGAAATGTTTAGGATTTCCTGAGTTAAATAAATTTTAATTAATTTTAATCACCAACTAAAATGAATTTCAAATGTTTTATAAAATTATTTTTTAGTTTTTTCGCCGCGTAAGAGGGCTGACAGCTAAAAGAACTAAGTAAGAACGGATTGTGGAAGAGAGTAAATGCATAATAAGTGATAGATAGACTAATAAGTTATTGTATTAATTGACAATTAATTAAAAATTCTTATTATTTTTTAGATGTCAATTATTTTTATAATAAACAGCGAAATTGTTAACCGATTTTTGGATTTTACTCAATGTTTTGAGTTTTTAAAATCATTTTTTGGAAATTAAAATTTAATTTGGAAATTAAGAAAAAATTTGAAACCTAATTTTCAGACTGAAAATATTGTTTTTTGAATAAAATTTGGCTACTAAAAATTTTTTTATTTATAAGTTTTTATCATTTAAAATTTTAGCCTGGTTCAGTTAGTGGCGACAGCGGAGGGATAGCAATTACGATCGCTATACTCTCCAAAGTTTTAAACAGGAAGCCGGCAAAGGGTTAATTTTTTTAATTATTTGAAATTTTTGATTTTTTTAATTCTAGAAAATTTGTGGGGGGAGGGGGTGGACGGGATGATTAGTTTTTTGAGAGTATATATGGAGGAGGGGAGGGGGTGGATGGAGAGGATGTTTTTTGAGAGTATGGGGGTGGGTAAATAGCAAGAAATTTATTTTTTATGTTTATATAGTTTGTATTTATTTAAAGATGTAGTAGCAACTGGTGCGATAACTTTAAATGGAGGATTGAAGGCCGTTGGAGGCTTGAAGTGGAAGTTAGAAGCTGCAGCGTGAATTGGTAAATCAATCATTCTTTTACCAAAACAAATGGAAAAGGAGTTTTATAATTTGACTGTGGAAGAAAGGATGGGCTTTACAGCCATTTGTAAGGATAATTTTGGAGATTTTTTCGAGACGATTTTTGGTCCAGAAAAATGAAAAATATTTTTTAAATAAAAATTATTTTACTTTTTTCTATTAAGTACATAGTTCTATTTTGGGAACATTAGATTTTTATAGGAAAAAAGTAAAATAATTTTTATTTAAAAAATATTTTTCATTTTTCTGGACCAAAAATCGTCTCGAAAAAATCTCCAAAATTATCCTTACAAATGGCTGTAAAGCCCATCCTCTCTTCCACAGTCAAATTATAAAACTCCTTTTCCATTTGTTTTGGTAAAAGAATGATTGATTTACCAATTCACGCTGCAGCTTCTAACTTCCACTTCAAGCCTCCAACGGCCTTCAATCCTCCATTTAAAGTTATCGCACCAGTTGCTACTACATCTTTAAATAAATACAAACTATATAAACATAAAAAATAAATTTCTTGCTATTTACCCACCCCCATACTCTCAAAAAACATCCTCTCCATCCACCCCCTCCCCTCCTCCATATATACTCTCAAAAAACTAATCATCCCGTCCACCCCCTCCCCCCACAAATTTTCTAGAATTAAAAAAATCAAAAATTTCAAATAATTAAAAAAATTAACCCTTTGCCGGCTTCCTGTTTAAAACTTTGGAGAGTATAGCGATCGTAATTGCTATCCCTCCGCTGTCGCCACTAACTGAACCAGGCTAAAATTTTAAATGATAAAAACTTATAAATAAAAAAATTTTTAGTAGCCAAATTTTATTCAAAAAACAATATTTTCAGTCTGAAAATTAGGTTTCAAATTTTTTCTTAATTTCCAAATTAAATTTTAATTTCCAAAAAATGATTTTAAAAACTCAAAACATTGAGTAAAATCCAAAAATCGGTTTTCTAAAAACTTAAAAATATTATTTAAAAGAAACTAATAGGATCAAAAATGAAAAGGAATTGTTCCTTTGGAAATTGAATTTTCTTTTCTTTGCATAATAACTGACAATATGTAATTGACCGAGCGATACTCCGCCAAATCGTCAAATCCGTAGGCTCCAAAAGGCTAAAGTGCTTCGTAAAGGGAGAAGTTGAGGTAGCAACAGTAACAGTGTACACCTCACCTCTGTATTTTTCTTCTTCAATAATTACTTCTTTTCCTTCATTATCTTTTATTTTCTTTTTATCATTGAAAGCTTAAAAACAAAATAATTTTTAAATCGACAGAAAATTATTCAGTAAATTTAAATTTTTGTTCATCTGAATAATCTATAGTTGTTTTTAACCAAAAAATTTTAATTATCCCAAATTTTAATCAAAAAGGTATTTTACAAATTTATTTGGCTGTTTGTTTGTTTGCTTATATTTTTCAATAAGTATTATGCTTGTATTGGAATGTTATCCAATAATTCTCAAGTTTTTTTTGGTTATTAAAATAGTTTCTAGATTTATTTTGGTTTGTTTTTTTCGAAATAAAACTCTTGTATTATCAATTAATAATTTAAAAAATTTTTAAAAATCTTTAAATTTAGTAAGAGTTGTTATTTCAAAAAAAATTTTTTGATTCATAAATACAAAAATATTACGACGAACGGCGAGAATGGGAAAAGTTCCCACAGGAAGATCCTTAACTTTAGGATATCCATTATGATCAGCAGTTTCATAAAAAGAACTGCAAAAGTTGACATTTCTAACCGCATTAATAGGACGCTAAAAATATTTTAATTAAAATTTTTCTGGTACTTTTCCGTTATACGTCCGCAAAATTTTCCAGTGAGGATTCCATTTTTGACTTCAAATTTAAGATTTGTACACCCCCCCTTATGGGTTTTCAATAGTTGGGGCTAAAGCTCAGCAAAAGAATTTGCAGACGTATAATGGAACCAAATTAATTGTCTCAAAATATTATTTTTTAATTCCATAAAAATTTACACAAAAATTTAATTAATAAAAAATTTAATTTTTAATTAAAACCTACTTTTCTGCATAAATTTGAATCAGAAAAACTTCGAATTAATGGGTAATTGTTTAATTCTTCATCATTATTAAAATTATCATCTTCAGTTAAATTTTCATCACAAACTAAAAGATAATAATATTTTTAATTTTTTAAATAAAACCTAAAATATTAAGGATAAAATACTAAATGTCCAAAACCAAAAAAATTTTCCAGGACACGAGACCAGAACTAGACTCCAAGACCGAAAAATCAAAGAAAAGTCTTTAGTCAAAACTCAAGACTCTCCTTTAATAAAATTTAATAATTTTTAATTAAATTCCAAACAAATTTAAGTATAGATATTTAAAAGTACTTTTTACCTTCGTTCTCAACAGCTTCAGAAGATTGCGTATCATCTTCCTCTACAAATACTTGTTCTTCGACCTTTAAAAAATTATTAAAAATTTATTACGTAAATACATATGTATTTTTTTATTAAAAAATTTCCTCAGAAAAATTTTTTAGATATCAAAAAAATATGTTAAACTTTTTCCACAAAAAAATTCACTACTATTGTATTAAAAATTGAAAACATAAACAATTAACAAACAAAACACGGTACTTTGTTCATATCCCGCCCCCATCCCTATTTGAGTCTAAGATTAATTTTCCTTCCTTGCTGTCAATCATTTAATTTTCCTCCTTTTTTAATGCCAATCATTTTCTTCCCTCAAATATTATAAAGTAAAAGGCAAGTTAAAAGCTTATGAATTTGAGGGGTGCAGCCCAAAAGGGCGCGCGGCCATAACGGCGCAAAGCCATAACTTGCTGGAATATTTTTGACCATTGTCATATTTGTTATCTATCTCTTTAGCTCGATGAGAGGAATCGTTTAATATTTATTTTGGTAAGGTTCGAAAATCTTGAAGCAAGTTATGGCTTTGCGCCGTTATGGCCGCGCGCCCTTTTGGGTGTCCTATATTTGAGGGAAGAAAATGATTGGCATTAAAAAAGAAGGAAAAATAAATGATTGACAGCAAAGAAGGAAAATTAATCTGAGACTCAAATAGGGGTGGGGGGCGGGATATGAACAAAGTACCCAAAACACTCACACACCTTAAAATTTAATATCAAAAATATTAAACCTTCTGGAAACGAGTAACACAAAATACACACTACAAGTTTTAAAAACACAAACAAGGAAATTAACAATTAAAAAGAAAAAATTATTTTTCGGAAAATACACATAAAAATATTGATTTTCCGATAGATTTTTACTGTGCATTCAGTCTAACTTTAATATTTTAAAATATTCTAAAAAAATTTTGGAGCATTTCTCACAGTAATCTCTTTTGTTTTCCTAACAAAAAACATTAAAGAATAAAAAGAAAAGTAAATAGAATAGAAAGAGAAGAAGTATTTACGCATAAGATAAAAATAGAAAACACATGCAAAAAATTAAATGAAATAAGAATATGAATATATCTTTTCCGGAAAGGAAGAAAATAAGACAAATAAAATAATTTTCCGGGAAGGCTTAAAATATAATTTCCGGAAAGTTTTGCGGAAAAAATAAAAAATATTTTTTCCGGAAAATTCTAATTCACAGAAATTAAACAGACTTGCAAAAAGCAAAACAATCACACACAAAAAATGAAAAAATCCACGCAACACAAAATCTAAATAGGGAAACCCCTCTAAATTAGATCTTATATATACCCAAACATAAACACTTTTACAATATAAACATTATAAAAAATAAAATACCTCGTGATTTTCAATCTTCATTTCTTCGTCAACTCTTGCTTTTGGTAAAATATTCATTAAATTCCTTGTTTCATTGTCAAAGCAATATACCAAAAATATAACCAGCACGACTAATAAGGCAATTAGAGGCCCAACCACAGCAAGAATTATCTCCTCCCCAGCTGCAACTGGTTGCAAAAACAAAAAGAAGAGACAAAGCTTCAATAACTTCTTAGCAACCCCTCCGAGAGTGCGCCTAATTAAAGGGACCCTCGGGGGTGCTTTCTGCCAATGTCTTAAAAATAAAAATAATAAAGAAAATG